CAAACTCCCTCGTCCAGCCGAAGGAAACCGAGAAAAACCATACCATCGGAACGACTAGGGCTTCGCCGTCGCTTGATGCTGCATCGCTATGGGTAGAACATCTCCTCAGGGGCTGACGGCCCAAGATTTCCATCACCAGCCTTATGTCAATCCCATCGATGTTTTCCCGCCCAAGTCGCGGCTGGCAAACCGGTCTCATAACTACAGATCGCCGATAAGGGGCCAGGTCCCATCAAGAAGTCCTTCGCAGTTTGCCACAGAACCTCACAAGTTCGCTTGTTGTGGCGAGGACGAAGATTCTTCCTTCCGTCCGTCAGGCGCCCTCAACTGTTGTGTCGACTACGACCATGGAGCCAACAGCCTTGTCGATTTTGGACAGTCTGCCGATGAGTTCACGGCCTGCTGCGATGAACCGCACCACAGCTCTCCCAGTCCCATGGACTGTGAGGATTGCGTTGATGACTGCGAGGACTGTGTCGAAGAGCACCTGAAAGCGAATCATCGAACCAATGATTGTCTCGACCACTGCGAGGAATGTAACGAAGACAAGGACATCAAGTGCCCCGAGGGCGCTGCATGTCAAGGAAACTGCGGTGAATGTGATTTCTCCTGCTTTGACTGCATTGATTGGTCTCAGTTTGAACGGGATAAGACTCTGGGTCTCTCGTTTCCTGTTCCGTTGTTGGGTCAGAATACCATGATGGACCCGAACCTCCAGTTTGATGGAACGGACCCTTCCAGTTTTCAAGATTTCGAGATGCCTAACACCCAGGCCGACGTAATCGCACCTCCTCTCGATGTACCTATGCATCATCAGTGCTTTGACAGCACGGTTCCCTACTGGAATAATCTGGCGCAGGAGCAGATTTGCACCGGTGATCCTGGACTAAGTCAGCAGCTTCCCTTACCACCATTTAGACTGGACTTTGGCTGTCATCCGGCTACCGCTCATCAGCGGCCTCCTCTACCAACCTTTCCCACAGCTGGCCAAATGAATCCCACTACCACTTCAAACCTCCAGCCAAAAGCCCTTGTTCCCGCTGCACCTTCCAAAGACCCTTTGAACTCCACAAAAGACCTCCTTAATGCAGTTACTGCCCCAGAAACTTCTCGGGCATGTCAATGGCTGATGCCTTGCGGCACCGTGTGCGGCGCCTCCTTCGCCACAGGCACCGACCTTAAGAAGCATCTTAAATCCGTCCATTTAGTCAAAGGCGTGACAAAGTGCCAATGGCAAGGCTGTGACTCTCCAGACTTTGGCTCCGAAGCCGCTCTGACAGGTCATATTTCCAAGAAACATCTAGCGTCCTTCCTCACCACGTTCCCTTCAGCCTCTTCTTCCTCATCAGCCAACAACGCGTTCGGCCATAGACATCAACACGTCCACAAATCCGAGGGACCGTTTAAATGCACATTTCCTTCGTGCCCCAAATCGTTCATGTACAAACAAGTGCGAGACGAGCACGTGGCCACCCACCACAACGGTAACAAAATGTACTGCCACATCTGCAACACTTTCCTGAACGGCGAAGGCTCGAATTTCAAGAGACACATGGCCACACACCGGCCCAAACACCAACATACGCTGTGCAAGTACCATGGGCTGGGGTGCAAAAGGCGATTTCCCAGGCTGGACAATCTCAGGAGACACGAGGCGTGCTGCAAGTTCGGAAAGGGTCTGAAGGCCAAAGGCACCGACAGTGGCGAGACCCAGCACCATCACCATGCCCACCATCATCACCCTCACAGTTGAGGAGGCATGCAAGCTGTCGTGGATGGTAGTGCAGGCAGCCTGGAAGGCCAGTCGGTTCCGGCGACGGCAACAAGAATGATTTCAGTGTTTCACGAGCATCGCGCCGTGCCGTGCAGTGCCGCGCAGTGCCGTGCAGCGTGGACAGTAACCACAGGGGCGGACACTCATCAAATCAAATCAAATCAAACCGCTGCTACCAACACCACTACCACGACGGGTACCACCATCGGTGCGGGAGTACAGTTTACGGTCTCCAACTTACGACTGAACAACAAACTTTACATTTATTTATAAAAGTGCGGCCATCCGACGCATACCTACCTCCCTACCTACCCACCTACATGGGTACATAGGCAATTAATGCACCTCTCCCCTACCTGGTCCGGCGTTTCTCTCTAGATGCCGAAAGCCGTTCACAGGGCTCCATAGTTGAACCTACATAGCTTGCTCGACGACATCGCGGTTTGTGTGCATGTGCATGAGAATTGGAATTGGGATTTGGATTAGGATTGGGATTGGGATTGGGAATGGGAATGGCATTGAAATTGAAATTGACTATATTGATTGGGTGGGAAGAGAAGAGAAGAGAAGAACGGAGAAGAAATGAGATCAAGGATGCTTGACCTTGCGAAGGAGGGGACTAGTATTTGCAGGACCGACTACGAGGTACAGAGTCCGGTTAACAGTCCTCTAGATAGCGACAGGTACCCGAGTATGTTTATGAGAGTTGAGGCCATGGCTCCGTGTGCATCATCATCTCTTCATCATCCTCCTCCTCATCATCATCACCATCCTCATCCTCACCATCATCAAGCACCACTCTCATCTGCATTATCTCGTTATCATGTAGCGTCAGCCACATTACAGAAAGGCCTGTCTGCTCGTTCAATCGTCCTGCCTGTCTCACACTCCTCCAACGTTACCGCATTAAAAGGGTTCTCCTCTCCTTGTCCCAGGGTGTTACCCAGGTAGACATCCAAGGTTGCTTCAACAAAAAGCATCGCCACCGGTGCTCGTTAGTGACGAGTCGACATGAGACACCCCCACATTTCCATTCCCCCAAACGCCCCTGCATGGACTGACTATCTGTGATGGGTATCATATGAATGGTTGAACTGTGAAAAGAAAAGTCTCAGCTGAGCCGAAAGATATTATTGCGACGAGGGGTATTCCAAAAGAAAAAAAGGCCACGTATGCCACGAGTAAATGTGAAAAATAATCAGACGTCTGGGGTGGTATTGCCGGAATTTTTGGGAGTCAGGGTCCGGGGGGTGAAGATGATCCCGGATCGGGCGGAACGAGTCGGTTTCGTTCCCATAGCACTGGACGATACGGTCTCCAAATTGAGCAGGCTTTTGGGCTCAGGGTGGACGTCCTAGTCGAGCTGGAGCAGACAGCGTAGCCGCCACAGATCATGACAGGGTATCGGTGCTACTCGCGGCGCCAAAGTTGATCAGGTTGCCAACGGGTCGCCTGCCAAACCGCTCCTTTTTCCTTTGCCGCCTTTTGGCGGCAAGTTGAGGGCTCCAAACGCCGGCAAACAAATCCTCGCATTCGTCCTCGTCTTGCGAGTCGAATTCGAGATCGTCGGCGGGATCGGCCGCCCCATCGACCAGCTTTCTCAATTCTCTCGGAGGAAGGGGCAGAACCTCGTCATATGTGCAGCGGCTGGCGTCATCTTCCTCATTCTCCCACGAGACATTGATGCGAATACGTTTGGTCTCGAGGATAAACTTGCCAACCTTGTATTTTTGGCTCTCTTCGCTGGCTTCGACGTATTTCCATCCCAGGATGCTGCCACAAACTGCACAGCTAATGTCGCTCACGATGTGTTGCCCGGTAACCAGGTTTCGAGAGATGGACTTGTTCTGAAACGTATTTGGCAAGGAGGGAGTTGTGGTATGGATGTGGCTTGTTGTCCCTTGAACCAAATACGCCCGACCATGTCTGCCCATGAAGCCCTTGCTGATGATCTGGGAGGTCAGGCACAGATCTGTAGAGCATTTTGCGCATTGAATATGAGAGCTGTGGCCATTGAGAAATTTGTCTCCAGGCGGAACGACAATGGATGACACAGATGAGACAGGAATGGGCGTCGGAGTGGGAGTCCTAGTGAAGGGATTCGAAGAGGACGAAGCAGCCGTCGGCGTGGAAGCGGTTGTATCGGCTGAACTGTTGCTGTCAGTGCTCGACTGACGCGACTTGCGGCGGAAAGGGATCGAGGGGAGGAGATATGTAGGAAAGATGGGGAATGAGGCCGGCTCCGACGTCTTGCGAAGGAAGGACATGGTTGCTGGAGATATCTTGGGACAGGATGGAAGTGGCTTGCAGAGCAACGTGGATTTGGGAAGCTGGAGGGAGACACAATAGTCAGCAGGGCGAGCAGCTGTGGTCGTTCATAATTCCCAATTCCCAATTCCCACGGGTCGGATGACCAGAGCGTACGGAATCGCGGATGTGGATCGGGAATGGAATTGGCCTGAACGGAGACCAATGACGTCGGATGCCTGACTTCAGTTGGGAGGACGCAGATGAGGTGGTTGAGATAGAGAACAGTGGCTGGCAAAGTCCAGCAGAAGCTATTTGGTTGAGAGATGGAATCTTGTGGGCCAGCCACCTCGATGCGAGGAGAGCACAGGGAGTGAGAGTGCGAGTTTGAAGTGAATGTAGGGAGCGGGAAGTCGATCATTCAACGACAGCCCTTTTCGCTTGTCCATTCCGGTGACTCTTCCTTTCCCCATCAAGCCCGCGTGATCTTTCGGTGTCGGACGAAAAGGGCCTGTCTGACGGAGAGGATGCAAGCCATGGTTTGGCTGGACTTGGAGGGATGCCCAGGGATGCCGGAGAAGGTAGAGGGTCAGACAGTGGTTTTGGATTCGGCGGTGACAAGACCTCGGAGGAGAGAAAGTGGTGTGGTGTGGAAGCTTACAGCGGCTTGACGGGCGCAGGCGGACGAGTTGGGTGAGGGGTTGAGGTGGGGAAGAGGAAGACCGGTTGTTGTCGAATTAGTGTGGCCCAACTAGCCTGATCATCACTGCCTGACTCGATGTCACTCCTGCATAGGTACAAGATAGGTATGTACTTGGACCTGGCCTTGGAGTACCGACTCGCCAGGTGGCTTACACATTGGGTGGTGAATGCCTGGTGGGGTTTCCATGTAATGCTACACCCATCAACCCCCGAATCTCATTCCCATCCTCGGTGAGCAAATGTCCGCCAGAACTCCCTGGTACACGTCCACATGCATTCAAACCTCTCCAACGAATCGGCTGGGATTCGGCATGATAAAAGGGTTCGCCAGCTTCGGAAATGACGAACCCCTGAAGTGTAAGTGGGTGTTGAGCAGGAATGCCGAGTTAGTGTCGATGAAAACCAGCAGCCGCGACAGGAATCCTTCCAGTCCAAGGGTTGTCAGCCCGCCTCTCAGTTTCAACATCTGTTCCACCGCCTTCATATGACAGTGATACGCGCTCTCTTCCCCGAAAATCGCTTCGTAGCTGGCCATCTTGGCGACCGCCGAAATCATCTCGTCGCGGAAGACCATGCCTCGGGAGTCGGAAGAAAGAGCCCGCGCAATGCCGGAGAGCGCGCACTGTTTGAGTGAGAGGATTGTCTCGGCCAGAGTCAAGTCATGACGCTGTGACGCATAGTGGGACGCCGAGAATAGTACGATGACTTGGAAGACGATTGGCGAACTGAGCACCATGGGGAACCACAGGGTCTGGAGGAGCGCCGAGCGACTGTCGCCGTCGAGCTCAGGAACGGCCACGGCCAGATGCTGTAGGTCTGGGCTAGTATCAGCGCACACCGGTGATTGGAAAAATGTAGAACTCAGCAGTGAAGAGGCTGGAACACAGAGCCATGGGGCATGCAGCTGGGAACCTACAGTTGTCCAGCACGATGGAAACAAGAGGATGGTAATAGATTGGGCTCTGTGAAGCTGGAATCATGCTCGTTCCAGAGGGCGTCGTCAGCAGCAGACTGTTGCTCGCTGTCGCTAGGCACCGTGGAGGAATCGGCACCCCTTCTTCTTGCGCCTCGCCTTGTGCTTTCGGACTGAGGTGAAGCTTCCAGGTAGGACATGGCTCGCGCCGCCTTTGGCGTGGTGGCCGTCGAGTCAGATGGGGCAGAGACCGATCACGATATACGACCACTCGTGCTGCGTGCGACCTGATCTCCCGACGTATCTGAAGAGACTGGGCTTTCTTCAATGGCCGTGCATCGATGAAAGTGAACGGGGGTTGTGCCATGTTCTCCCTGCCAGATTGGGAAAAGCAGGCGAGTATTACCGAGTAATAGTATGAATACTGGAAGGGCACCGAGTAGGGGCGAGGGGGTTGGTGTGTGGGAGGAAGCGAGGTATTACTGAGTACCAACTGGGTCCCGAGCCGGGAGCCGGGAGCTGGGAGTACTTTAGCACTAGGCCCAGTAATACTCCTCCGTACAATTAGGATACTATTATTGGCTATGCCAAGCAGGTAAAGCCTGTTATGGATCCACCTACTTGGACTGGGTAGGCGGATTCTGTACGGAGTGAAGGACAAAGCTCCTCTTTCATCCTCTCCCAGGTTCGATTCAAAACAAGCTACCCTGAGGACCAACCCCCCTCAAACACCCAATCCGCCTCAAAATACCGAATACCAAAAATCCTTACTGTCCACTGCTGCTGCTGGGTCAGCGACTCGTGTATCCTCCGTTGGCGAAGATCGTCTGGCCTGCATGGTGTTAAAAAAAAATACGTCAGCACGTGCCGCCTCGTACTAATGCAAAGGTCGGCCCCTCTAAAATTCTCCTCACTCGGCGAACTGCTCCTCTGTTCTATGACAGGAAAGATCCAACCTCTCCACCTAAGGGGGAGGGACAGTCCATATCTGAACATGACCGGAGCGGATGCAGATCACCAAAAAAAAACAAAAACAAAAACCTACCATTGATCCAGGCCCCTTCGGTGCACAAGAACTTGTATATCGGAGCGATGTCCTTGATGTCTGTGAGTCGGCCGCCGATGGCGTTGGACTTGTGAAATTCGACGGCTTCGGGCGTCTCCTGGCCGTAGAAGAATGCTATCCCCCACAATTAGTCTGGCCTCATTCGAACATCGTGGGATCGATCATGTCGGTGGGATTTTAAATCTTTTTCTCCCGCCTGAGGTTTACAGAGGCAGCAATGCACCAGCAGGTCTAGGGAGAAGCTTACGAGTATCCTAATTCGTTGGCCCGTCAGTTTAAGATGTCTCAACCTTGCATCCGGCATACTAACCATCGGCCCTGGAGCGACCGCGTTGACGCTGATCCCCCTTGGCATCAACTCTTTGCTCAGCCCCTTGGTGAACCACTCCACGGGACTCTTACTCCCTTGGTAGGAAGTGTAGGATGGCGCGTACGCGGCTAGGAGGCTAGTCACCGTGTTGATGATCTTGCCACCGTCGCTGATCCGCCTGGCGGCTTCCTGGGTGATGAAGAAGGCCGCTTTCGAGTTGATCGCGAACATTGTATCGTATTCCTTCTCGGAGATCTCGACGAGTGGTTTCTTGAGAACCATGCCGACCGTGTTGATCACGATGTCCAGCTTCGGGCCAAAGTCCGCGGCGACGCTGTTGAATAGTGTCTCGACATTTGCCGCGGTGGTCAGGTCCCCTTGGTAGACGTTGACTTTGACGTCCTTGTGCTTGGAGGAGAGGTCTGCAGCGAGGGCCTCGGCGGCCTTTCGCGTCGATGAAGAGTTGTAGTGCAGAGCCAAATTAGACCCTTCGGCCGCGAAGAGGGTGGCGATCAGCGCACCGAGATTCTTGCCGCCGCCTGTGATGAGCGTCATCTTGCCGGAAAGCGACATGGTGGGCACAGCTTGGGTAGAGATCAATATGTCAAAACAAAATCCGGGGAATACGAAGAAGTTGGAAGAAAGGTGGTTGGCTCAAGGGAACTATTCCAGAGAAATGCCTCCCATTCTTATACTCTCAATCTGTTCTGTTCGTTCGATGCCTTCCGGAGGAGATTGGCGAATTGCAGTACCAGTTTCCTGGGTCCATGTGTAAAGAGTTTACAAAACACGCAGGGGCAGCAAGATAGCCAGTCGACGCTTTGTCACACCCGGCATCCAACGCCGTGAACTGGATCTTTGTTGCCAACAACATTCACCAACCACGTTCCAAGACCAGGGATGGGAAGAGCTGCTTAACCGTAAATGGTTGCTGCATGTTGCCGTCGCCAATGCTCGCTGAGCTTTGCGCGTATGCAATAAGGTTCTGCGAAGTGGGCAGGAACCAGAAAATGACGATCGTCTTTACGTAAATGGCTGCCAGACTCCATGGCACCCCATAATACGATTTCACCAGCACGATTCCATCCCAATCGAAAGCTCCTCTCCCCCCGCATTTCTTTTTTTGGTCTTCCGGGACGCAAGTCGTGGCATAAAGACGATTGGTCTGGCCAGCTGCAGCGGGCCAGGGACGTAGTTCGGAGCACGGCGAAGTACGATTCCATCTTTGGCGTCAGTTACAAAGTCGAGCAACTCCGGGACGAAAGAAACATCGTCACCGGGAGAGGGTACCATGTAGGAGGAAAATGTTTCTTCCTGAGCAACAAGCAGAGAGCGAAATCTCCAGAGATCTGCATGAGAAGATAACCAGGAAAGCAAAAAGGGTATTGTCAGATTGTCTCCGTAGTCGTGGATGATGTCCTTCGGCAAGGGCATGTTGGCACTTTGACCTTCTATATACCTATCTATGAAGAACGCCGTGAACGCCGTAAAAGGGCCCAGATGAGGGGATTGTTGGATCACTTTTTGGATGAGAAATGAGGCTGTCGAGGCCCTGAAGATCTCCGTTGATACCACAACCCTAGCATCTGTATCGAAGGCTCGGCGAGGCCGTAAGAGATGGGGATGGCGATGAGGTGAAACACGCAGTGACGAGGACGGCGACAACTTAGTCGATCCCTAAGCACGGTAGCCCAGAAGGAGCCCGTCGACCTGTGCATGAACGAATTCGTGTGGAGATCGCCTCAATAACTTGTTTCCACGGCAGAATGTTCCTCACCCTCGATCAACAGAGAATACTTCAGCAGTCCTGACTCGGTATTCTCCACTTGCAAGTCGTACGACAACTGGCAGTAAGGCTCGCCGTCCGAAGCTCGGCGCTTCTTTTTAAATAGTCTCCTAGGAACATCGTTAAGATCTGTGTGCAACACACAGTTGAGGATGACTGTCGGTCGGTGATGTTAGAAAGACATGACCAGCGCGCATGTCGGAAAAGTGAACTAGACTCACTGTTGACTGGGTGTTCCGGCACCGGCAGGGCAGTAGATTCATACAGGTCGTCTTGGACTCGGAGGGTCTCTCCACGAGGCTTATGCCCAGGGAATTTCCGTTTGAAGGACAAGGTTATTTTCTCGCCACGGTTGAGTTCGTCATCCTGCAGAGAGAGTGAGTGTGTCCTTCAACCATTCTTTTAGGGTACGTCGGGCAGCTTTGTGTGGAAGCAAAGCGTCAACTCTCAAAAACCTACCATGCGTATGAACCAATCCATAATGTCGCATTCGTCTTGACTGGTCCAACGGTTCCGCAACTTCGGAAAGCCTGTGTCCCTAGTGGGATCCCATGCGGTGAGCGCGATCGTGCCATAGTGTTTCGCGGCCTTTGTTGCAACCACGATAGGCGCTGACATTGGCAATTTACTCAAGACCGCACCTCTGGTTCTATTAGATTTGCGAACATTATACGAAAGGGTTTTCTAGGCACCTGGAAATCGACGACCACCTGGATCTGATTAGACATGACATGGTCCACTTGTTGGCAGGGAGTCCTACGCTTCTTTCGGCTGAATCACCGTGACTCCAGGGTTTGAATTCTGGATGGCTTTTGCTAAATAGTCGCTTGACCCGAAACCACCAACGAGGAAAATTGCCTGAAAATTTTAGCAGACAGCTTCGCCAAAGAGCTTCACCAAGAACAAACCTTGACGCCATTTGGATTGGGTGGGCTAGCTTGCAAACGCTCAATCTTGACGGCGCTGATCTGCTCCCCGACCAAGCGATCAACTTCACGAACTATTGGGTCAAACAGCCGGAACATTGTAGCCCTGTCCGAGTGAGCAGGCATCTTTCCCATCGCAAAGTCAGCTATACTTACCCTGATAGTGTCATCGAATTCTTGACCAACCCATTCGCAGGATTGTCTTCGAGCTTTGCCATTGGGAAGCTTAAATACTTGTCCCTATCATCCTTACCACGGAAACCTGGTTTGATAGCTATGGCAAACTCTTTCAGAGCGTTTTGATAGCCTTCAGTCTTTTTCAATGAGACGAAGGCCTCATCCCCAACAACCTTTCGAATCTCTTCTTCAAGGTTCCGATCGATCATGCTACTGCCAGCGACAGCACCTGGAAAGGCAACCATTACCGGTCTGAATTCATGACCCTCAAATAAAATGAGGCAGAGAGGAAGGAGCAACAACGTACCAGACGCCTTCGTGATAGCCCTAAGTTCAAAGGGCGCCAAGCTGAGAATCTCATAGGAGATCAGGTCAACAGTGCCGCCTCCCGCATCACAGATGACGACTGCGTCGTTGACCTAGAGGGTGTTTAATACAAAGACATGCGCAAGCAGGCTTTGCTTACCTTTAGGCCTTTGCTCTTCAAATCCTTCAGAGTAAACAGAGCTGCTGCCTCCGGCTCGGTGATCATGTCCACCGGTGAAATACCAGCCTTTTCTGCTGCCTTGTTTATGGTCAGCGTCCAACGGCATAAGCGCATCCAATCGTCCACAAACCCGGGAAGTCATGTCTTTTGCCTTGTCTGACCAAATGGCAGGCACAGTAAGGACATATCGTTTATCGAAGGTGTGTAAGAGCTCTGGCACGAGGAACTGGCCTTTAATTTCTTCTATGGCGTGCTCGAAGATTGCGCGCATATAGTCACTCGCCACATCGACAACAGGTTTTGGAAGTTTTGCCTTTTCGACCTCGATATTTGTAGGAATGAAGTACGGTCTTGGCTGCTCTGGATCCAAGAGTAATTTGATGTGTTGGATCTTCTCCCCTTCCAGCCGATCAAGTTCATAGCCCCATTTGAAATTTGTAACGGAGTCCGATCCATACTGAAGAGCAGTCGGTGTCTTCGGAGCATTCCTGTCTCCGCCCGGCCACGAGTCAATCGTAAACACCTTTTCAGGGTCGGTGGTGAGAGCGTAAGCGATTCTGTTTTCCAGCATCAGCCCAGGGAAATTCTCTAGGAGTATTTGCTGGCATACCCACTATACGTGGTTCCAAAGTCAAGGGCAATGATCAAACGATCTCCCACATCCTTATCGCTGAGACCTAGGTTGCTTAAGTCGTCAAGTAAGCTCCCAAAGGTAGACGATGAGGAGTCCATGGTTAACCGAACAACGAAGCATGTGAACAACGTGGCCCTCAGAGAAGATGATGCGAGAGGGACATATGAGGGTCCTTAAAGGCGATATACGCCCTATCACTCGTACCTTTTGGGTCTCGCGCCTGCGGTATTGTTCTGCTACTCGGTTCGGAGCCCTCTGACAGGTCAAAGCGGCCTCCCACAGGTTGTGGCACTATGAAACACATTGTGAGTATAGACTGAGACTCATTTGAACATGTGCGTCTGCCTATAACAACGCAAAACGTATTCGAGATCGTGGATTTGAAAGATGAGACAATCCTCTGGTTGTCGCCTTACCGAGACTCAGCCTTCTCTGACAAGGGATTTGGAGAAACGATGGCTCGAGAATGTTTGGAGATTCTATGCCTTCATCTCGGGCATCTTTTCTAAAGTCCCGATTGCGCTTGCACTCCTTTCTCCATTAAAGCCAGAAGCTAGAAAGAATCCGGATTTGTTCGTCGAAATTCAAGCTGTTGAGTTCAAGATGGAGTCAGATCTGCAGGCGGCTAGAATGGTCTTGTTTTGGGTCGGTTCTGTTTGAGATAGAGCCCCTACACTCGGTACATTTCCGCGGTCTCTAGGGCGCTTAGATGTTTCGCGTTTAATGCAATGTCTCTAAGAGGTTGGGTTTGTGATTGGAAATATGTATCTAGTTTGAGGCACTCCTACCTTCATGTATTCTTCCCGGTTGGCCGCCCCAAGAGCATCAAAGCTCTTTTGCAATTTGGCAAATGTTCACTGCAGAGAACAAACCATTATTTTCACCTGATGTGTCTTTTTGATCTTCTGCGGACCTCTGTGTCACCATCGGTGAGGAATCGACACGAGCGGCTTTCCTTCTCTGCCTCTGCCCTTGGCAGAAGAACAGCCGTGTCGGTACCAGTGGATTGTTTGATACGGGACCAATATCAAGAACGCCGTTGTTATCTGTACGAGGATGCTCACTTGCAACTTGAGGCTGTGCGTGAAGACGTGAACAATATCAGCATGCAAGTCTTGCCGGAGAGATCTGAGCAGCGGAATTTCGAGACCGAAGCCTTGCCACACAGTCCACAGCTAGTGAGTTGTGGAGATTTCCCCTTCCGACCATGAAACGCCCGAAAGAAATTGCTGATAACCTTACAGCATCGTAAGATCTCCCTGACAAGGAGCAATGGATATGAGGAATGCAATGCTCCACTCGAATTCCCCAACGCCTTGGGCGAAGAGGCAGAGAAAAAAGTGTGCAAGCTAAAAGATGAACTTGCAGTTTGTCAGACAGAACTAAGCAAACATAAACATCTCAATGAGGAGTTACAGCGGCAACTCATGGGCCACAAAGCTAGGCTTGCACAAATGCAAAAGCTGATGCTTCGTGCCGGACACAAAGAGGCTGTTTCGGGGGACGACGAAATCGTTGAAAGATTCGCCATACTCAGAAGTGACATCTTCCAATTGGTCAAAAACCATTTCAGCAAGCCGATACCGTCCCCGAAGGGCGCCTATGATCCAGACGCTTGTCCCGAGATTGCGGAGCTTACAACCCGCGCAAACGTTGCAGACGGACTGTACTCTTCGTTCTTTCACCCAACGGTTATGCTCTTTGGAATTGAAGATCACCGAAGCGACAGCCTTTTCAAATGGGTGGAAGATAGCGTACTAGCGAGGTGTGGCAACTGTGAGTTTGTCGAGGACCACCATCAAATCGGCTTTGACTGACAACAGGGCAGCTGGCGAACTGATCGAGTGGCGAGCCAGCAGCGTTCGAATCGCAAAATTGTTGGATATGGGCGATCGTGACCAATATCCGGCGATGGCTGCGGATCAGCTATGGGACCAGATCGGGTTGACATGCCACCACCCTTTATACTCCCCTTTGAGAGATCAAGCCAAAACAGAACTTCAAGATGTGTGTAACAGTGCCTATAAAGTTGCACTGCTGCTTCGTGAAGCGAAGATCGAATACGAGTGGCAGCAGGATATTGGACGCCTCAATCCATCGGAAACCACGCTCGGTGACTATGAGATTCTGGGGACGACGGGTCCAGAGGCTAGCGATCAACATGCGATTCATTGCATCGTGTTCGGAGGGGTCATCAGAGGCGACAGGCACACGGGGCGGCTGAAGGATGGAAGCACCCGTCTGTGCAAGACGGGCGTGGTCATCATGCCTCCTCTGCCGTGAGCTGGCAAGGCTGGACAGCTGTGGACGAAAGAATAGGTATGCAGTGAGCTTGTGTAACAGAGGATAGATGAGAGGTGGAGGAGGCAGTTCCGCAAAATGCTTGGCGTTCGCCTGGTCACGTTCTTGTCACGTTGCCAGCCTGGTGAGAACTGCGCTAACTGTGCTTGACTGCGGCTGACTACGCTCCGTTTCTGAGCTGAACCCATCAAACCCATCACCATCCTCTTTGAACTTAATAGCACCGCATTCCCGAATTTCTGGACCATTATCGACCACCAGCCGTTGAAAGGCTGGCTGAAAGCGATCCTCGAATAGGGAAAGACTCCCTGCGGGAGCTGCTTTGACTGGCAAGTCCTCAAATGTTGCCTGCACACCCTCGAGGTCGAAATGGTCATCTTCTGTAGAGTTATCGTGAGCATCGTTGAGACTCCCGTGTCACCAGCCCCAATGGTTCATGTGCTCTGCGCCAGCTTCATCCTCATTAGCCCCTTTCTCGTGTTTGGCATTCCAGTAAGTGGTCGAAGGCCCTCGCTTATAGGAGACTGCTGTCTGCTTCATTCTGGACCATACTCCTCGTGTCACAATGCATACAGACTAGTCCATTCAGTCCCCTCGACCTGCAGGGCGAGCAATACTTTACTGAGAGCATCAGCTGCTGCTGAACTGCCCTCTGCTTATGGATGCTGCGACTCACAAAAAGCCCAATCCTCCCCAGCGAGGCAATCTGTGCTCATTTCTGTTTTCATTCTAAATCTGCGAGGCTGTGAGAGAGAATTCAAACGGGTCAACTCCCCTCGGAAAGATCATATTGGCTTTGGCGTTAATCCCGTCCCATTCCTAGCAAAATGTCTCAGGACAGCCGCACCCCGTTGGTTGAAGACACGAAATCTATCGCCACGGCCACCCAAACTCAGATTGATGGTTCACCAAATCCTAACTTTGGCATCGCTGCTGGCAGAGGCGGCGGTACTGGCTCTGATGGCGGGTCAAGTCGGAGTCTAGACAAGCGCACAGAATTCCGTCAACGTGTGGGAATTAGGCCCGAAACTGGTGTGATTTGCCCCAATCTTGTGATTCTCTTTACAAAAGACTTGTGAGAAAGACGCAGACGAGAACAAACAGCTTCTGCGACGACAGACGCGAGGATCAAGTTCAATAGACTGAAACAGAAAATACTGACGATTCACTTGGTTGCCAAAAAGGCGATATACCCGACCAATTCCTCTTCCGCAACCGCCTAGAAAAAGCCTACAATGACCAAACTCGCTTCTATTACATCGTCATGAGCGTGTCGCACGGCATGCTCTGGCTTCAAATCGGCATTGGGGCCACCGTCACGGCTCTAGGGACAACGAGTGAGATCCCACCCTTTCTCTTTAAAGGACCTGCTTGCATACAGAAGAGACTACTGCCCTCCCTGCATCCGTATCATCGCAGACGTTGACTGATTCTTTCTTGCAAGACTCCAACGCCGCGAGAATCGCCATAACCGTCCTCGGAGCCATCAACACCGTGATTGCAGGGTTTCTGACCTTCCTGAAGAGTAGGAACCAGCCGAACAGGGCGTTACAATTCAGAAATGGCCTTCGAGGCGTGTACGAAGATCTTTGGCAAGTTGATGCCGAGATGTTGAGCGGCAAGGACATCAACGTGGATCAGAAAGTGGATGATCTGTGGAAGAAGTACAAGGAAGTAACCGCCGAGGCGGAGGTGAGTTTTGGCTTTCCGACTATTACTTTGCATATAAACGCCTTCCCATACTCCGATGCCGGGAGCAATTACTAACGAAACGAACTTTCCCCCCAGGCAAACTACCCTGATCTGTGGGTCAGTCTGGGTAAATTAATTAAGCCCACGGACGCGGACAAGCATCCGAGCACGCAATTGAAGGACGTCTCCCCGGAAGAGAGGGAGAACGGTGAGCAGAAGAGCGACCCAAGTGCGACCCTGAGCGACCCGCTCGTGCTACCCAAGACAAGGCCGTGAGCATTTGTATAGACCGTCGTGGGCTGGAATCGGTCGCCATCCTCTGAGGTATGCGTGTGAGGCACTAGGAGGAGGTGAAGATTCTGGATAGGTAGGAGGACTCGGACAAGCACCCCGTCCAGCGAGCCGCGCCGAACTTGGTCCAGTGTGGTGTGGAATGCGGAATGACCGAATCACCCATTGCCGTGCATCTGAGCGAAGAAGAGAACCAGGAATTGTGATAAGAGATCTGATCTTCCTGCTAGGCGACGAGTGAATCACCCGGGAGATATCAAGGCGTTCTTTGTGGAAGCCCGTGACGGCAACGAGCATCAGCCACTGCACTCTGGTAACTGGGCCTTGGAAACAGGACAGGCCATGTCATAGTGAATTTCAACTAGTGAGAAATTAATTTCCCCATTCGGGGCCGCTCGCATGCTTCATTCATCGAGGGCCATTTTTCAAAATAGAAGTAGATCTATGATGCCGTTGTTGTCAAAACATAGTAATCGAAACCCAAACCCCATCCAACCCGGCGAATATCAAGCACAGAAGTCTGATTAAACAATGGAACGCTTCTCACTTCACAGGAGTGTCCAGCATCGCATGGTTCTCCTGTGCGATGATGGGATGATACTCGCCTTTCTGGAACAATGATTCATCATCCATGTCCACCGAGCGATCAATCTTGAAATACCGAATCTCCCATTCCTCATCAATCACATCGCCATAGCTTTCCAACTCGGCCCAGAGGTCCGGATAGGCCTTCTTGGCCCACTTCTCCACTTCGTCTTTGCGATACTGCCAGGGGATGGCATTATAAAATGTGCCAATGGTCACGGCGTCAGGTGGCTCGCCTATGTCACGCTCCATGTTTTCGATCAATTCCACGACGTTTTCGAATTCAGATTGGCCAGCAAGGGCGCCGATGTAGGCGTCATAGACTTCTTTCGTGATGACGAGGTTGAAACTCTGCATCAATGCCATAATGCGTCTTGCCTCGTGTCCGCCCTGGGGTATCCACCTCTCACACGCCCGCAGGGCAAGAATAAAGGAGCTCAATGTCGGCCCCTCGCGTGACTCCATGATCTTCCAAAAATGATCGATGATCGCGACGAAGGGTTGCTGACACTCGGTATATGCTGCCATTAGGCCGTTGTGGATGCGTGTAGTCTGTTCGACTTCTAGATCTAGTTTGAGCATATTGTAAATCATCTGCAGTCCGTCAATATCCTTGCATTTTGCGATACCTTCGAAGCATTTCGCGTATGCCTCGGCAGTGGGGCGAGCCTCAAGGTCTTCACGCTGCCGCATATGGCCGAACACAAGACATGCTAGTTCAGGACGATTCCGATCAAAGAACGACTGCATCAGGGTAACGCGGTCTCGTACCGGCGCCTCGGGAAACGCGTGCCGGAACAGTTCATAAGCGTTGTAGGCGCGTTGATCTTTGACGGTCGGGTCGACAATGAATTGACGGAAGACTGCGGCTATTCGAGCTCGGTCATCCATGGGATAGGAGTCGACCCTGTGGCGGAGCAGGCCTGTTGCTTCTTCTAACTCATCCCTTTGGAGGAAGACGTGGCAGAGGCCGGCGATGGCTTCAGCCTCCAGCTCCGCTCCACTTTCGAGGAGATGGTCGACAACTTGCATGAGGTGGATGTACTCAGGGTCTGCAGAAAAGGACAAAGCAGAAATATAGTGGTTCAGAACAGGCACGTCCGACCTATCGACAGGTATATCCTCTCTGGAGAGGAGCTCGTATGCCTGTGCTGCAGCTGCACGATCCCCTCGCTTTAGTTCATAATTTAATTGCAACGCTCGAGTTCTGGCATCCGGGTGAAGGCCAAGAGATTCGGCCAGGTCAATATAGCGTGTTGCGGTCTCAGGGCTGTTTTGCGAATAGGCGTATTCGATCACACGGTTAAGGCTTTTCATAGATACTGCGTCGGTGACCCCACGTTCTGATTGCTGTTGAATCATTTGCCGTATATGGTTCACGTCTGGATCATGTGTAGCATGCCAGAGAAGCAGAGTTCCTGCCATATCCCCTGAATCGGTCCTCTTTTGCAGCAGATGCACAGCTTTTTCACCCCATTCCAGTTCCCCATTCTGCATCGCACAGTCAACAACCTTGACTAAGGTCGATGTCGTAGGCACCTGGCCTTCCTCCAAGGGCAGAGAAAAGACCTTTTTCAAAGTAGTAATCTCGTCATGCTGGGCGAAATAAGTAATCAAGATCTCTTGGGAGACAGCATCAAGAGATCCGACGGTTTTCTGTACGTCTTCAACGACCTTCCAGAATTCCGACATTCGCCCTTCATTCGCAAGACCTCTCAAAACGGCGGTCCACATTGGCAAACTGGATCTTTCGGAGTTGTTGGGGGACTTGCGGAGGAGTTCTAGAGCATCCTGAGCGGAGCCTGTCTTGGATAGTACAGTAATATATGTCAACAAAAGCGAACCTTGAGCTCGACGTCGACCCTGTTCCACAGGAACCTCGAGATCCTCCGCCCGTGTTGACAGATTTTTGAGTACATCAAAGACGAGTGTTGCCAAAATCCGGGCGTCGGTCCGAAATCTGTCATGGCCTGTAGCAGATGCTAATGCCAGCAAAATATTATCGAGGTCTTCCTCCGACAGACCCGTCTTGTTGTCCTCGGTAAAAATATGTCCACGCTCTTGTAGATGTTTGAAAGCCTCCGTGGCCAGAAAGACCTCATTCCTCGTTAATCGCCGCGGCGCCTCGATCCTTGAAGTAAAGAGGAATCTAAGCGCATCGACAACCTCGTTCTCGGGGGGAAGTCGAGACTGGCTTCTTCTTGCTTTAACGAGATCAACCAACTTGCTCAACGCAAGTTCGACATTGGCGGGAGTGCTTCTAGCGCCCTGGAAACCTTGTCGAGCACCGCCAAAGTTGAGACCAAAGAGATGGCGCTTTTGGTGGAAGTGGTAGGACGTGCGTGCATACTGGGAGAATTGTGTTCTTCCAATGGCCCTTTGACAGTCTCGAATGGTATACGGTTTATTGGCTAGGATTGCGCGGAACACGCTACGGGTTAAATGCGAGAACTTCATGGCAAATCCCTTGTACACCAGTTGCTATGGTGTTTTAGAAATCGAACGGCACGGGAACCATAGTCGACAAGGAGGAAGAGGGGAGAGTCGTGCTGATGGTAGCTGAGGGATTGTGGTGGTATGATGTTTGCTGGGAAACATGCAGGTGGTTGCCGCGATTGAAATGCGGAGTATCGGCGCACCTTCCTCCTGGCTTTTCGTCCATACGGAGAACGGAAAACGCAGTCTGCCAACGCTTCATCTCCCTCACGACCTCAGCCAGTGTACTCCGTACTACCAATTTCTTCGCTTCTATAGTCTATCAAATCATGTCTGCTCAGCTCAGCTCCAAGCTGGGGCTGCGGCTGGGTCGTGCAAGCAAATATGTCGCCTCATTCCCCCTTGACCGTACGTCTTTTGTTCAATGCCAGGCCAGACAGAAGGGCGGTTTCCTAATGCAATACAGAGACCTTCAAACGCGCGGCCGGAATGACTGTTAAAGAAGCGGAACGGAGAGCAGCGGTGGCGCAGGAAAACCATGCGATTGCACGACAGCTGACGCGACCTTGGAAAGCTGGCGATGTGTACGCCCCTCATGATCTGAGCAGTGCTGAAGCTCGCAAGTGGAGAGTCAAACATCGACCTACGACCGACGCTTTTGACGCACTATCTGTGAACCCCCTCAGCTTGTATAAAGTGAGCTTGTGACCTCAAGAGATGTGGTATACATATGCTAACCCTCCCATAGAACTTCTCCGTTATGTCTGAGTATATGACCGAGATGGGCCGGATCCGACATTCGAACTCGACGGGACTGCGAGCGGTTAACCAAAGAAAGATCGCAAAGGCCATTCGAAGAGCGATAGCATTGGGACTGATGCCAAGTATCCACAAGCATCCTGAAATCATCAAGGAAGAAATGCAGGGCAGAATGTTAAACACCGGACGGGTGAGGTGAATGTGGCTCTCCTAGTTTGCCAAGGAGGGCGAAAATGTGCTGGTCTTTGGCAATATCAGCGTCCCAGCCCGCTTGCAAAAAGGACGAATGCCAGTCAGCATCGAACCCGCTACCTCGAAGCCTCTCGGACTGCATGTAAGAGAGACACTGATCCCATTTATGCTGATCAACAGCCGGCAACGTAGACAACTCCGACGATCCCTCCAATCGGCAAAAATATCCAAAATCCTAGCTCGAAAGCCACCCTAACCGGTACTAAGGAAAAGGGTTTCGAGGAGGGAAAACGCCGTCTCTTTCCCAAGGATCGAGTATTTTTTTTTTCGCAGCCAACTTGCTCGATCATGCCACGATTTACTCTCCAAAGATACCGCGGGATGAATGGTATTCACTGGGCTGAGGTGGCGGAAAGTCCCCACTATTCCAACGGGTGCCACAACTTAATCGGTCTTACGCCTTTTAACCATCTCCCTCGAAGGGTGCGTTGGGGGACCTCGACTAGACTTGGTGTCTAGCTTGGCAGTTCGTGAACAAAATTCAACGGTCATATTGATAAACAGGTGGCTTGGACCACGGTGGATACAGTGTGGCAGAAAAAGGGCCGTAATTCAAAGAGGAAGTCGATGTATATATACTCTGTACTAGTCTGAATATCAGAATCCTCAACGATTTTACTCTGCACAGCCTTTCAATCTCCGTATGGTCTTCATCGATCAGGACATAGGGTGCGGAAGATGGAAACACCAATGCGATCACCGATTGTGTTTATTCTACTACATAGCCGTTGTGGTGTCGCAAATTAGCGGTCCCAAATCTTGCAGACAGCCTCGTAGCCTCGTAGCCTTGTGGCCTCACAGCCTCTCGACTGCGCCCGCCTTGCCCAAACAAGAAGTCTATTTGTGAGCTGCGGCCGACAGTCAAGTGCCTGTATCTCAATGCAAATAAAACTATCTGTGGTGGTCGCATTCTTCCTTCCACGCTCGCACATGAAATAAAATGTCCATCAACGCCGCAGGCATCTATGCCGCACTCCCGTCCACCTCAAGAGGTTTGCCTACCCCTCTAAGCTCTGACTCCAAGGGCGAGCGCATTGCGTATGCTGCCAACAAGTCCATATTTATTCGATCCATCGACAATCCCGCCATATCCACTCAGTACACCCAACACACGACCACCACAACCGTCGCCAGGTTCGCGCCTTCCGGCTTTTATTGTGCCTCTGGGGATGCTTCAGGCATTGTTCGGGTCTGGGACTGCTCACCCAATGGATCAGGAGCGACAAAGGGGGAATATGCCATCATATCAGGCCGAATCAACGACATTGCATGGGACGGTGACAGCCAGCGCATTATAGCGGTAGGAGATGGAAAACAACGTTTCGGACACTGCGTAACGGCGGACTCGGGGAACACAGTAGGAGAGATAAGCGGGCACTCTGCGCAGGTTAATGCAGTCAGCATAAGACAACAGAGACCCTTGCGAGCAGCTACAGGAGGTGATGACAAGAACTTGGTCTTCTATCACGGGGCTCCATTCAAATTCAATGGCATCCCTGGCCGAGGAAACCACACGAATTTCATCTATGGGGTTGCCTTCTCGCCTGATGGCAACCACTTGCTAAGTGTCGGCGGTGACAAGAAGATCTATCTGTATGACGGTAAAACCGGGGAGGTGAAGACCGAGGTCGCCGACAGCGCAGAAGGCCACAAAGGCAGCATTTTCGGGGTCTCTTGGTCCAAAGATTCGAAAAGCTTTGTGACATGCTCGGGAGATCGGACTGTCAAGACCTGGGATGTGGAAGCTGGGAAAGTCACACATACTTGGTCTTTCGGTGATGCTATGGCTGTCTCAGATCAGCAAGTCGGCGTCGTATGGCCCGCAGGCAGATCAGATGGATTGATCATATCTCTGTCACTCAGCGGGGACCTCAATTATCTGAACACCGGCTCAAGCAAGCCCTCCAAGATCATTTCAGGTCATCAGAAAAATATCACAGCGCTCACATCTTCAGGGGATGCTGAAAATGCAACGTTGTGGACAGGCAGTTCCGAAGGGCGATTGTGCTCTTGGGATACTGCAAACGGTACTGCAGAGACAATCGAAGGCGATGGACCCACCAACATCATTTCAGGACTTGCCGCTCTGCCTTCTGGAAAGCACCCCCAAGTCTTTGCTGTCAGTTGGGATGATACCTTGAGAACAGTCGACGCCGGAGCAAAGACGTTCACGGGAAAGTCAACAAAATTGTCATCACAGCCGAAAGCCCTGACCTGCACCACAGACTCTGTGGTTGTTGTAGCTCAGCTAGAAAGCGTCATTGTCTACAGAGATGGAGAAGAAGACGGCGAGCTGCCCTTGAAGTCAACACCAACATCTCTGGCTTCCCATGGCAGCACTGTCGCAATCGGTTCTCAGGATTCCAGCCTTCGCTTGTTCTCGGTTGTGCCAGGAAAAGCACCCAAGCAGGTTGCATTCGTCGAACAGGTTTCTGCCCATCCCCTAACAGCCATATCGTTTTCGAATGATGGCTCAATGGTGGCAGCTGGTTCTGCTGCCGGGAAGATCTATGTCTACAAGATTAGCCGTGGGATTACAGGGCTGGTAACTGGAACTTCGTCGCTTGAGCTTGTAACCGATCGGTGGAGCGCCCATACGGCGAAGATCACCAGCATTGCATGGAATCCAGAAGGGACAGGCGCGGCTTCTGGAAGCTTAGATACCAACATTTTTGCTTGGAGTTTGAAAGAACCTGGAAAGCGAGTGAAAGAGACGAATGCACACAAAGAAGGGGTTAATGGTCTCATTTGGCTCGGAGATACCGTCTACAGCACGGGGGCAGATGCCACGGTCAAGAAGTGGAAGATCAAGATAGCTTAGAGAGGGGCATAGACGTTACGAGGCACACGGCGTCATGAGTCGATGATGGATTATGTAGCCAGTCTGTCGGATGAGACAGCCTGAAACCATGACAACGAGGCTCCGGCACCTTCGCGGCTTGTTGAGGTCCCCCGGTGGAATGATCAGAATCACTACATGGTATTGTGCATTTGGAAAGGCTTCATCTCCGTCTTGCGCGTAGCATTCTAAAAGAGGCGTTTGTTGAAGTCCTCTAACGACCACCCGATGTCGGTGCTCCAAAGTGGATGGTCTTTGGTTCAATCACAGCCTTGCCAAGGCATGGAAAACTGCTCGCAGCCCTAGTGGCAGGAACAGACCACGGAAGGATGAAGGAGGTACTCAGTGCCAAGGCGCTAAAAGGGCTCTCATCTTGGCGTCCACGGGCCATAGTAAACATCTTCGATATACTTTGTGGCGCTGCGGCAAAACCAAACATTGAAGCAGAAGCTTTCTCTTCACACTCACGTCGACAGCTACCTTTTGGAACACTCACTCTGGACACATATTCGCGTGGTTGATACTCTCGGTGCTACCCAAATGGTAGAAAGAACCCCCCAGCCCCAACGCCCCAAAGTTCCGCGCAAGGAGTTCCGGCCAGGCGTCTTCCTCAAACAAGCACTATCTCGCTGCGACGCATATATGGCGGCATGTAACCATGATTTGCACTGAGTCAAGACGTCTACAGCAACCTTTCCCCTACTACCTCTATCTTGCCCTATTTTAAACCCCCGCTCTCCGGATAGCTTTTCAATCAATCAATCAATCAATCAGACCAGTTCGCATCCCGCGGGGCGAGTTGTCATGTGAACTCGGACTCGCCTTCAGTGGTCTTCAGATGCAGCCAAGCGCTTGGCTGACCTTTGCTCGCCATGAGGTGGGGTCCTAATGTTTCACGCGAACCAATTATTCTCTCCCTTCGAATCTTCATCACGATGTGAACTTTTCGTTCTACCAGCCATTCACGACTTAATAACCTGCAGAACAGCGTGGACCATGCCTGGTCGTGTGTCTACCTTGCTCACAACTGCCTGTTCCTCACTCATTCAGCTGCTCGAGCTGTAAACTCGGCTCTCGTGAACAGAGATGTTGCTTGCGCCCACTGCAATCGCGCTGAACTTGCCACGATGCTGCAACTTGAAGAGTGCTCGTGTTGGCTTCAGCCCCACAGTCTCTCTCGTGTTCACCACTTGGCAGCTTCAGAGTATAAGACAGCACACCTGCTCCAGGATAGCAGCTCCTTTGTCAAAGCCTTGTGTGTCATGTTAGACCAACAGAGCGGCGTACCTCGACAATGGCGTCCTCGACCACCGCAGCGGGCTTCGACGTTGACAGCTTTGCAAACTATTTGATCTCTGACTTGGGCTTCCTCCTTGCCCTATTCGGGGATTTGCCCACAAAACAGTTTCTAGCCTTGTCCACCGGCTGGTACGACAACATTGCGCTTGCAGTTGCCCCCATAGGGATTCCTACGATCATGGTCAGTGCTATCCGTGTGGCCGGGGCCAACTGGCTGAAAGCTATTATCGGAAGGTAAGCCTAAGGATCCTGTCTCTGTATTACGAAATAAGAGGTTTTCTAACAGAACGACTACCCTGCATAAGAGCTCGAGAAAGCAGAGCGAGCGCCGAGGTCGAAGTCCTCTCTTCCACTTCAGCAGAAGTCTGTGAGTTGTGGAGTGGGAACCAAATCGTTCGAGTCGCTGGTCAGGCGCCCATCAAGGAGATCATTAGATACGTAACGCCTATGTCTGGGCAGCCAGCATGTGCGGGAAAGGAGGAATGGATGGATCTTGCCAAAGCTACCTCAAGCACCGACGCTACCTCGACGACGCTACACCCGAGAACGAGATATAACATCACCCGTACCGGGGGTGGCGGCAATATACTAGGGGGAACCATCAAAGATAACGGATCCCTATCCAAACTGATGATCGCCTCCAGCACTTCAGCCCCAAATTTGACACTGAATATCGACCGAGATGTATACACCGGAAAGGGCGGAATAGGGATGAGAGTATGGAAAAGAGTTTGGGCTGCCGCAGTCCTTGCGCTCATTTTGCAACTTGCTGTTGTTACTGTGTGGACTCTAACTACCTATCACTGGAAGGTGGGCAGAGCAAACAGACCTCCACCCAGATACGGCTTCCCTTGTGCTGTCGGTGGAGCAGGACTCCTTTTCTTTGGAATACTTCTATGTGGCCATGTAGTCGAGGATGTGACTGCTGAGCTACACGCCGTGCCCGCCCGGAATCCCGAAAGGTTTAGTGTCATGCGTATTCAAAGATCGTGTACGGCTGGTTCCCAGAATTTCGATGGATATCTCATTCACAACAAGGATGGAGACCCGACCATATCTATGTCGCGACGCTTACCCGACACTATGCGAGTAAGGAGACATCGCACTTTCACTCTGGTCGGAACACTCTCAGCCTCCACTGGCTTTATTGTGCAGTTCATCGGCCTTCGAACATTACACTGGGGGGCCACCATCGCTCAGCTCGTTGCCACAATGGCTATGATTGTTATACGCGCCTGGCTTCGACGTAATCTCTTGGATGACCCTCGCTGCGAGAAGCTCTTGTCAAAATATGAAATTTCTGATGCAACCTTCGCTATATGCAGGGTGAAACTACAAACCAAGTTGAGACCAGGGAGCTGGACTTGCCCTTGGGTCCCCAAGGTCAATGCACCAGCCACCGGCCAGATCAAACCGGAATACATGAATTACGGTTGGGGTCTTTCCACAAGCATCCAGCTTGAGATATCCAATCCTAACACGACGGCAGGGAATAACCCTAACACGGCGACAGGGAATCCAAGCCAGACAAACGATATTGAAGCAGATGCTGAATCATTTTCGTCCAGTTCTGCCGACCCAGAGCTCAAGGACCCAGATAGCCATAACGAGGCCCAGCTCAAGCACTGGGAGGAGCGCCTGGTGCGAACCAGAGTGGAATTAGGGTATTTCACAGAGTGGGAGGAAGACTGTACGATCTGGGGAGAACGCGTCGCCACTGCCGCCGAGGACGTATTTCGAAAACTGGAGACCATGTCCTCTGGCAGATGGCCACGTTTGACTTTCAAGAACGTGGAACGAACCAGAAGTTGGCAACTCGCTACGTACGTGCGTAGAAGCAAACATCTCATCTTGAGGTCAACATTCACCATCGACCCGAACACACTTCCTAACTACTGGTACGCCGTCCCGGCCGATCGAGACGGCCATATACGGAGAGTAAAGGACTCTTACTCGGCCATCCTATGCCTCTGGCATTGCCGTATCGTCAAGCGAAGGGCCGGCGTCAATTACAAGCCGCAATTCCCCTTTGCACGTGTAGTGGATGCATTTGGGACAGAAGTGAAAAGGTCCGGCCTGATTCAAGATTGGTTGCGTACTCCTCTATCGGAAGTCCCTCGCGATTATCACTGGGCAGAGTGGAGAGGCAAGCTATTTGATCCTGCATTAAGTTTTGGACGCCGATTCGCCGTCGAACCCTCTGTCAACCATTTGTAAGTCATTGACGACGTATTAGCTGATAGGAACAGAATTTCTGACATTAGCCGGTAGGTCAGCACCCTCGAGCAACACCAATCCCCAGAGGCTAGCCTTTGCGGTCGACGGTGGGATTCATCTCCCCAGGCTTTGCGCACAAGAGTTGTTTTCAATGTATATCTTCGACCTGACTTCCAGAATTGAACTGATACATGTGAACTCAGTCATGGACCCGGATGGCAAGCTCTCTAATAAAATCATTGAGGATCTCATTGTCGATGTCCGTGATAGCGGGCTGGCAAACTCCTTGGAGGAGGCTCGAACATTGGTCGTGCCGTCCTTCTATTACCACGACTTACTCCCCCGACCTCTGGGCTCTCGCTAAACAGCTCTCGGCGCCTCCCGCGCTCTATAATGAGGCCGTGTTTTCGGGCTTGATTGATGAAGCCTCCAGTGCTGTCGGCGTGTGCATGAATCTACAGGATCGTGCGCAAACGAGTTTGACCCATGGGAGCAGGAAAGGATGGTTTGTTCACCAACCAAAATGAGGCGATTTTCAGGACAGCATATTGTTTCTGTCTACAATCCTGTGGTCTAATGATCCCAATGTAATTGCCCGCAACTCCTGCCACCACTATTTTGTGTCTCAAGCGATCTGGTGAGTTCATGGAGCCCTAGTGCTAGTTGTTCGCAGCGTTGCTAGGACTATATACTCAGATAGGACGGCCAACAGGACGACCGTAATGATTGATGGTAGTATATCCTATCTACGTAATCTTCCCAAGGCCTTGTCTACTCTCTTCAACCTCTGCGAATATCCTTATCTGTCATTGAAGCAGTCACTGCCACCTGCTTAACCTGTTGGGACGAGGAAATATTGGAAATATCTCCAAGCCGCACCCTCACACCACCCAACATCCCGGCCCATTCACTCGCACTCCACGTCGACCGGCCCACAACGCTACGAATTCGGTTGTCTAGCATGACAATAATTAGGGAGCCCAACACGTCGGGCACCGTGGTGACAATGCGCAAGCCAGCAGCCGCGAGGGCCACTAGAAAGGTCGTTAGGGACGCCACAAGCAGCACGACCAACCATAGTCTATGGCAGTACACGACATCCTGCTCAAAATTTGTCGTGGCGATGACACTTGGACTGAGACCGGAAATAGTGCTGGACTGTCCGGTGACTTTCTGCGGTTGGGTCCCTATGATAAGCAGAGAGTTCAGAATCTGAGCCATGCGAAGCTCAAAGGCACTTCTTCCTGAATGGTATATATCAGTGCTGAGATAGCCGATAGGCTTCAATGGGTCCGCCATGAATAATAGCAGGGGAGAGCTCATTCCGGCAACACCGGTGCCATGGAAAGGGTCCAAAGAACTTGGAGAAGGCCTTGGGTAATATCAGTCCCATCAATCACGATCCAATTCCGGTCACGGGTGTGGCTGAAGAGAGCGACGAACGGATGTGGGAGAGCAAGTGCTTGCATTGCAGGACAACTTTAACGCGACAAACGGAGGGCCGACTAGCATCTCGGCTTCCGCCCAGGCTTCGGCATACGAATACGTGTATCCAACGAATGTATCCATCACCGCCAGGCCCGAGGCACTGGTTGAAAGGTTGGCACCAATCGAAACCACCCAAAGCGAGGCCTGGCTCCCAAACGGCGACATGGTCCAGAGAAGCGCAATGAGGAATGCGACTGTGTTGGCAGCTCGAACTTCGGCCTGGGTGATGAAAGCTCCAGAAATAATGTGGCTCCCCATCATCTGCTCGACGTTTCGGAGCGTCGTGCCGCGTTGAATCCTCCACGTAGCAAAGGCTTTCATGGCCGACTCGATGAGCGCCGTGAACATGATTGGAAAAACGGTTGGGCCCTGTAGTGTGCTCAGCAAGTCCGCAGGAGCCGTTCGTATCTAGAAGGACAAGCAAACATATTTGGCGCTGAGGACGAGGCGAACAGCAACAGAGCCGGGGTCGGCGTGCCGACCGTCGTTCCTCCACGCGAGGATTCCAAAAACGACGAAGAGCAAAGGTACGACGGCTAGGACTAGATCAATGGCGGCCCTGAAGGCCTTGCGTTTCCAGTCTGAAACCTGTGGATCGGGCCCTGTATGCTCTTCTTCGAAGAATGGGTGGTAACCGAGCAGAGTTCTGGCTTGACGCCCGTTATGGAGCGCCTGATATCGAGGCTCTTTGCGGCTTTGATTTTCCACCATGGCAGCTTAATATTGATGGCCGAGTGAACGGAATGATGAGTGATGAAGGAAACTGATTCACAGATACATCAAGGATCTCAGCCTACCCAAAGAGTGAAGACTTTAGATCGAGTTAAGAGCCGCCCAGCGTTACAGCACAGCCCGACATCTGGCATCCTCCACCGAAGGGTCGTGTGGCTGCTGTTCACGTAGCCAGATTAGACGACATAGCTAGAAGACTTCGATAGCACACATTTCCTAAGCGAAAAGAAGCGAAACTCTTGAGAGGTTCAACACTGGGCCAGAACTTACACGGCATTAGCCCAAACAGGATAAGCGAGAAAACTTTCAACTGCTGGGTAAAGCCGCGTGTGCTTTCCTGGCTGCGGTAGAAATCACCGGCACGCCCTTGTTTTAGGTAGTAGTGTGCTTTGTATGCACTCGTCTATCGGCGCTACTCTATTTGTATCCCTGTATGACCCTGCCTGAGATTATAAAAAGCAATAGTGTAGATACAGTAGATTAAAATAGGCATAGGCGCTAAGCCTCGCCAGCCTTTCCGCCCAGCCGCTATTCCTTGATATTGGTGGACCGGGTGGAGTAAGAAGGGTCGAGGTGTGACCCACTGGGTTGTGGGTCACCAAGTCCGCCCACCAGGAATTGCCATGGGACGAGACATTGTCTGGAAGTATACTGCTCTGTACAGGCGCTTGGGGGCTCAAACTCATTGCTGCCAGTGCGCCTAATAACAATGGTATCTAATTGAATGATCGCATGGTCGCGACAGCGGCACGTCTTGCATTGTCCCGTGCAAATGTGTCTGAAGTATCTATTTTATACGGGGCGACCCTAGTTCACCGTCTAGGTGTGTCTCACACTCTTGGTGAGTGTTCGAATTTAGCACTGGTGGAAAATTCAAGCTCTGGAGATTTGCGCCGCAGAGACAGCATCCCTCCAATGGCTAACGAATAGTTGAAATTCAAACTTCGCAAGTTAGCTTCGCGGACAAGAAATATCACAAACCGTTCAACCAAACCGTTTCTGTTGGATGTCCATTTGCACGAAGCAATCGGTTAACTAGGAGTAATAACGCTTTGCGGCAAGGTCGCCTCCTCAACCAAATGCCTTGTGTCACTACACAGTTGCCGATCTTCCGCCTCTATGGTCCTTGTAAACTCCTTGAAAGCCTGTATAGCAAGACGGCGAATCTTCCCCTATCTGTCCTTTTAGGATGTGAGCTCGTCTTGGGGATCACAGCGCTGCCCTTGTAATCCTAAGTAGAGTCTGCCCGTTAGTCCCGGAGGCAATCAACATATGGCTATATTTAGGTCAGTAACCTGGCTAGAACGGTACGCGGGGAGCCTTGAAAATTCGTTCATATTCACTGGTATTGTCGTATTAACCAGCAGCAAAAGCGGTCCGAGATCCATTATGGAGAATGTGGTTGATCCAATTCTAGGGGCTAATGTCCTGACCACCTCAGTGGATGACATGATCAAGACGAGCAATGTCGCGCACAGTGGCCCGTTCAGCCCATCAATATGGCTGGACAGCGAAGACCCAATTGTGGTAATGTAAGTCTGCAGATCTGTTGGCTGTTTATCTAGTGTCGGAGACTACATAAGGCTGTGGCTATACGATGTTCGAGCGACGCATCATCGTGGCTGGTGTCCGATCGCATACCCAGGTTGCCAGCCACTGTCAAACCGTGACGGGGGTATGAAAATTCTCTGACCACCGCGACGTATCATGAGAATACTCATGTTGAATTTGCTCTACTTCTCGAGTAGGCCACAGAGAAGACCGGCGATCGGTTTTGTTATCCAAAATATTGCGTGAACGGGTGTTTTGGTGTTGATCCGGTTTATCATGCTGTTGGACGACAGCGCCATCCCTGAGCACAATCAGCCCATCAGTTTCGGTTTGCTTCAGCAGTAGCACTAGATGTATTTCCGGGAAGATCGAGTTCTAATCTGTTGAAGTGTGTGGTTTAGACCTTAGGTGGATGTTTTTGGCACTCTACTGATCGGGTCGCTTTGGATGATTTTGTCGATATTTTGGAAGCCCCAGACATTTGGCTCGGCTGTTTCTAGTTGGTATTGCCTGTAGACACACTGTCTTCCAAGTCCAATACGCTTATGTTGATTAGTTGTTCCTAGAGAGGAGTGATAGGATCATGTATTTGTCCCGGGGGGTTTGCGCGTATGTCTAATACGGCGTCCGAGGCCAGTGAGTTCATGCAGAGTAGAAGTAATTATTAAGCAGAAAAAAGACGGGCGCAGGCACTACGTACCTAGGTAAGTAGTAGATGGGTACAGAGTAGAAGGGAAATACAGGGTAAGTAATACATCGTAGGTAAGTTTCAAAAGGTGAATGCTTTCTAGAGGGGAGCGGCGGTTAAAAGCGGCGCGGGCAAGCGCGGATTGGGCTCCCAGGCCTCGTCTTTGGCCGCCATGTCACTGCTCCGCAAACTCTCCCTCACGAAACTGCGACAAAAGTCCAACAACCTCCTTTGTCTTCCCGCCATCAATGACATGACCCCGTGTTGAACCGAGAAACGCACTGGTCTCCTGCATGGACAAAGCCTTCATCTGTGCAGCGCTGCGCATGCGCGCCCCTTAAACTCCCAGCGTGTTCTTTCGCCCAACATGGCGACATTCGACGAGACCTTCAACCCCGCCGCTCTTACACGATCGGATACTCTCACTTCGACGACGAGCACACTAAAGGCTCCTCCGGGCTCTACGTCGAAACCACAAAAAGCCGCTCAAAGCTATCCTCGGGTCGATCTCGAACCTCTGTATACCGAACTAAAATCACTAATTGGCCACAACTGGGACACATATTTCGATGCTATAACAAGGTTTATACGAGGTAAACCGAGCTTCGATGCTCTGATGCCCCCTCCTCGTAGTAACCCTGGGAAATAGGACGGCGAGGCTGACTTCTGAGCGACAGGTGAACTGAACGCGCGAGAGTTCGGCGACCTATGCGATGTCTTCATTTATGCGACTCCTCAAACGGAACATGCCCACAACTCTTTAATACTCGCTATACTCTGTAATACCGGCAAAGACCCTCCTGAACCTGGACTAGCAGCATGGGTCAGCGCAACGACAGACAAGTCTGCGCTGACGTCGGGCACGAAACCTGCTGCCACGGGCGATGCAAGCGAACAGCGACTGAAAGCCGAAGTAATGGCACTGCCCGCCCGTGACCGACGACGCATCAAAGGAGCTGCGAATGACAAGGCAGATGAGGAGGCGGCAGCTCGGAGGAACCCCTATGAAGACCTTTATCTCGCGGGAAGGATTAAAGCACCAGAGGCTGCTCCAAGCGCAATCGCAGGAGGACTGACGAAGACGAACTGGGATTTGGAGATTAGGAAAAGATATCTACAGCCACTTTTCTCAGAGACACTCGAGTTTCCGGATACAACGGCGATACATTCTCGGATTGTCCCCATTTGTTATGAAGAGTCCATCGCGCAAGGTTGCTCAATACAATGCGCTGAACTAGTGGGAATTGCAGCGGAGACGTATCTCAAAGGCGTGCTGGCTGAGGTCATGAATCGAACACGGCCCAATGGCCCAAGATACGAGCACAGCGCGGGCGGAGGCATCTTAACGAGCTCCTACAAGAGGAAAATCGACCGCGAGGAGGAGGAAGTCAAGGCTGGGAGGCTCAACAAGACTCGTGATGATGACTTGTTACCGACTGAAGCGCAGGTCGCATATGCAAGACGTCCCATCGGCATGGCGGATCTGCAACTCACCGCTCGGGTCGGTCCTTTACCTTGGAATGCAATGCCTTGTATTGGATACACCGTGAACAATGCTTCGGCCGGTTATGATCATGATCAGTGGCTCACGGAGCAAGAGCAAGCGGCGAGTGCGGCGGCGACGACGACGACGACGAATGGACATGTTAACCTAGTCGATGATAGTATGGATGTCGACAGTACCGATAACTATGGCTGGGAAGGCGCTGGGCCACAAGACAGAGCAGGGCTGGATTCTGTTCTTGCCGATTGTCTGGCTATTCGTGTGTAGGTCACACAGCAACCTCGAAAGCAGGGACAAGAGACATTAGAAGCGATGGAGGTAGATGACCGTTACGAGCCAAAGGAAACGCGAGAGTCTTCCATCGACGATACGCAAGGTTTGGCTGGTGATCGCCAGGAATCTTTCAAGAGGGCTTCAATACAAAGACTCGAGCACTTCCGAGCCAACTCCTCAGAAGAGGAAATGGATGAGATCTTGGTGAGCCTGAGAAGTGGAATCGTGCCATCCCTCGTCATGTGGCAAACCCTGCGTCTCGGGCCGTGGTGTTGCAGCGCGGCGGAGGTTATCTGTAAAGGTCGATGAGATTAACGATGCACTGTGAGGATTTAGGTCGTGGTTCGACAAGGCTGTTACCGAACGGCGTTACGCTCAAGTATATTGTCTGCGGTGAAAAAAGGCCCGTGGTCTGTCGCCACCGGGATACGAATCGGAATGCGGATGGGATGGGCATGGGGATGAGTTTCATGATACCCCCGGCGAACTGGCTATCGTTGAGATACAGAATCCGAGAAATGCATGGAGGGCGTTCCTACTACGAGCGATTGTCTGTTTTCCAGCAGTCAAATCGCGCAAGGGCGTCCAAAAGCCACGTCGTTGCTTCGTGGCAGCGATGTTGTAAAATGGAAGCACTTGAGTTTTTCCCATGCTATTATTTACGAGGACCGCCCTATTCAATCTACCTTTCCACCACCTTTCCCCCAAAGCTTTCCTTTGACTTTCGCATATCGAGGCACGATCCTGTTGTCATGCTCGGCTGTACTCTGAAGACTATATTTCGTCGAAGCCACAAGCATAGAACCTCATTTATAACTCATCCTTTACCCCTTGGGCGGCGTTGCCCGTCTCCAATTTCCCTACCGAATCCTTGACCATCAAGGCCAATATGTCGACCAACAGATCACTGGCGGCCACACTGGTGACTTCTGCCGCCGTGTCATATGGCGGACTCACCTCGACGACGTCCGCACCAACCAGCCTCACGCCTTCGAGGCCCTTGATGAATCTTTTGACCTCGCGGGTCGTCCAGCCTCCGGACTCGGGCGTGCCTGTCGCGGGGGCGATGCTGGGGTCCAAGACGTCGATGTCGATGCTGAGATAGACGGGCCTGTCTGTCCCGACAATGCCGCGCACCCTGTCGGCTATCCCCTGCATGCCCCTGGGGTCGTCGTCGATCTCGTGCGCCTCGATGATCTCAAAGCCCACCACTTCCTTGTCCGTGACGTAGTCCTTGGGCGAGAATAGTTTGGTTCTCAGCCCGCCGTGCACGCTGCTACCCTTGGCGATGCACCCCTCCCTCGCGGCGTGCCAGAAGAATGTCCCGTGCGTGATTGCGCTCTGTTCCGACACGATCCCGGTGTAGCCAGCATAGGGGTCCCAGGTGTCCAGGTGGGAGTCGAGGTGAATGACGGAAATCGGGCCGTAGATTTCCTTGAGCGAGCGCAGGATCGGGAGAACGATCGAGTGGTCGCCTCCCAGAGAGAGGACGCGGGGATGGTTCCATGTTCTCCCTCCCAACGACGACGTTACTGATGCCGTGGAGGTGTTGTGAAACAAGATCTGACGGTAACCCTGCTCCATCTGTCGAAATGCATGCTTGGCGTCAAACGGCGTGAGGGGGATGTCTCCGCAGTCCACGATGTTCAACCCTCCTTCCGTCAATGGGTCAATGCTCCATACAGTGTTGTAGCTCCTTCCTTTCTTTTCTCTGGAGCTCGCGGCCCGAATGCCCCTGGGCCCAAAGCGCGCCCCAGGCCGGTAGGATGTCGATGTGTCGTAGGGAAAACCTACTATAGCAATGTCTAGGGCTGATGCGTGAAGGGAGGAAAAGCACCGCTGCCACGGTAAGTGTGCGAAGGTGACTGGTTGAGAGAAGGGCAGATCTTTGTCGAGGTCCTCGAGGGGATAGGGGTAGTTGGGACCAACGGAGAAGGAGAGTGGTGCTTCCTCCGAGGAGGCACCAGGAGCATCATGTGAATGGAGGTTCGAATGGGAATGGGCATATACAAGGGAGATGAGAAGACCAAAATGCACGAGAGTAAGGGCGAGTCTTTTCGCCATTGTTGTTGCCAGCGTTGTGCTTCGTCGATCTTAGCGGCCGCTTCTCTCGTTCGTGCCTTTTCTTTCGCAATCCAGGGTGCTGTTTCTTCTTATGAGGATGTTACCGTCCTTGACAAGCTGCGTTGTCGAGATAGGTCTTCCTGGTGCATACTCCGTCCGTAGACTTGTTAGCTGGAGTTGAACAAACCGTCTCCTCCCACCGCGCCACAGCACCGCCAGGCCGGTCTTTATGTCCAGAACACACATTAATCTCGCGGGAAAAACTCTGTCAATACCTGTGGTCCCTCGCAGAAGCATGCATTCTTCATAGACGGACAAGTCCTTGATACGAATCGGCCACGCGCCAGTGGATGCAGCTGGCATCTCCGTTCCCCACGCTGATGCACGAGGCGAGAATCCCTGTGGAGCTGAAGTACTGTTGTATGGAGAACGGCCAGTCTAGGTCGGATGGGCCTGTCCGTTGCTAGTCTCGCTGCATGTGAGCTGCAAAACATACAAGGATGTACGGAGGATAATTTGCATAGAAAAGATCAGGGTAGTATATGAGGTGGACAAATCCGATTACTTCTGACGCAAATGAGATCGAGGGCAAAGCCAGAAGGAATGCCATTTATTCCATGTTTAACTTTTATCTTACCGTATCGAAATTGGCGATAGCCCAAGCGACATATATTGGCCGCTCGAAGGCTCTCAGGTGCCAGAAATGCCGTCAAGGGTTGGGAAGGAGTTCGGGTGGAACTGGATCCTGACCTTAGTTGAACACTACCGTTTTATGCCCGTTCAAAAATACTCTTTTCTCCGACCACCACTTGACCGCCGCAGCCAAAACTTGACTCTCCACGTTGCTCCCTTCGTCGATGAGTTCCTTTGGCGTCATACTATGATCAACTCTTGTGACTCTCTGTTCAATGATCGGCCCCTCATCCAGATCAGCAGTAACAAAATGTGCCGTGGCGCCGATGATCTTGACGCCTCTTTCAAAGGCCTGGTGGTAAGGCTTAGCACCCTTGAAGGAGGGTAAGAAGCTGTGATGGATGTTTATGATCTTGCCGGACATGGCTTCACAGAGGGTCGGTGAGAGGACTTGCATGTACCGCGCCAGCACTACCAAATCGATGTTGTGTTCTTTGATGAGCTCTAGGATGCGAGCTTCCTGCTCGGACTTGGTATCCTTGCTAACAGGCAGATGATGGAACGCAATGTTATAACTCTTGGCTAGCGGTTCGAAATCCGGGTGATTCGACACGATCAACGGCACGTCGATAGCCAACTGCCCCTGTAGATACTTGTTAGACTTATACCAACATTGACAGTCTCATAACCACGACCCATCCAAAGAGGTACAGAAAAATCTTTCAAAGGGAATGGCGCTCACTGTCTTCTGGCGAAAAAGGAGGTCGTTTAGGCAGTAGCCGATCTTGGAGACCATGATCAAGACTTTGGGTTTCTCAGCCACGGGACGGAGCTCGTAGTCCATCTTGATGTCGTTTGCTAACTCATCGAACGAGGGTCTTAAAAAGTTTGTGTCGTCGGCTGGTCCGAAATGGACTCTCATAAAGAACTTCTCCGAAGTGCGGTCGCTGAACTGTTGCAAGTCGAGGATGTTGAGTTTGTTCCTAGCGAAGATCCCTGTTACGGCATGAATTATGCCCGGTTTATCGGGGCATGAAAGAGTTAGAATGTGGTCGTTGGCCATCTTTGCGAGAATGGAACAGTCCTGAATTAGAGTCGAAAACGGAGATTTGGTCAGGGCCAGCAGTCTGGATGTCTCTGGGGCAAACTGTACCCCCAAGAGTTTTCGTGGTAGCTGTCTCCAACTTGCTAGTCTTGTTCCGCTTAGGATGGCAAGCATCTGCCTCAACCTTTTTGTGTGTTTTTCCCTGCTCGCGTGACGGGAGCAGTCTAAAAAAATTTGCGAATATCAAAGTGCGCTTACGAGGTATTTGCTATGCCGTATCCGGAGTTGCGGCAGAGTACGGTGAAGCATATGCCCATGTTGCTCAATTGATCTGGCCTTGATCTGGCTTGATCTGCCGCAGCAACTAGGCGCAGCTAGGCATCCCATCTCCACTTCTGGAGACTTTGCTGCTTCTATCTCGAGGAAATTCTTGATTGTGAAGGCCAAGATGGAAGAATCCCATCCTCGCGGGATTCAATGCGGATCTGGCGCCTATTACAGGTGAAACTTGGTCAGGCTGCTACCGGAGCCTGCGCCTTCATCTCACGTGTTGTGCGCGTGTGGCTACGCGTTCCTAACCCGACCGAAACTGAACTCACTCCGTGTTTTCAATATATGACCATCACCTTCACCTCCAGTGAGATGAATGTCCTCCATCAATCCTCTTTGTCCTCTGTCTATTGCTTTGGCGGGTCAATTACACAAAGCTTGGTTCTGCAATCGTCTCTGTTCACCTGGTGCTGATTCATTCCCTCCTCGTTTTCCGTCCTTCGTTTTCGCCCCCATCCCAATTCACGCCTAGCTTCACGCCTAGCTTAGGTGCAATGGCCATGGAGCTTCCCCATCTCCCAGTCCCCGTCTCTGACTTCGTTGGCTATGTCGACAAGAAGCCCAGAACCCAGACCGGCGTCGCTGAAGCGGTTGAACCCTTCAAGGCCTTTGAAAGCAAACTGAGGGAGATCTACGCCCAGCAACCTGACCACCCAGCAGCACGCGCAAACCACCTGGTACCTGTGTTCAAGGATGCTCCCGTTACCATTCGAGCAAGAGAGCTCACAAAGGAATCTGACGCTGAGAAAGACAAATACCTGTTGACTCTCCCACAGGAGGCTCGCAGAAAAGACGGTTCTCCTGCCACCACTCAGACCTTGAAAGAGTTCAGGACCAATTTCAACCTTTTCTCCGAGTCTTCACTGGTCGACCTAGATTGGGATAATGTGGTGTGTGCAGGAAGCGCTGTTGTCACCTCTTTGCTGCCGGTCGATGCTCCTCACAATGAGTCCAAGGTAAACCACCAGCCACGAGTCTTTTTGCTCCTTACGTTCTAACATGCCATTAGCGAGCACTTCGAGCTTATTACCATGAAAAGCTGGCGCCTGCTTCAGATGTCGATCTTTTCCTCTACGGCCTGAACGAGGAACAAGCTATTGAGAAGATCAGACAAATCGAGACCAAGATCCGGGATAGCATCCTGGCCGAAACAACAACCATTGTAAGCTCCCTGAATACTTTTTTCGGTGTCCTTGGGCATCCTTGAAAGCTTAATCGTCTGGAGCATGTGCGATATTAACCGAAAAACAGCGTACGAAGAATGCCATCACCATTGTATCAGAATACCCAACCCGTCATGTCCAAATTGTGCTCCGCCTGTACAAGAGCATTTCTGAGATCCTCACCGGCTTCGACGTTGATTGTTCATGTGTGGCCTACGATGGTCAGCAGGTGTGGGCGTCTCCTAGAGCGCTAGCGGCCTTCATGACTCAGGTGAACACAATTGACCTCACCAGAAGATCTCCATCTTACGAGAATCGGCTGTCTAAATACTCTCATCGCGGCTTCGAGGTGTTTTTCCCCGGTATCGACCGCAGTCGAATTGATCCAACTATCTTTGAGAGGTCTTTCTCAAGGGTACAGGGTTTAGCGAGGCTACTGGTTCTTGAAAAGTTGCCACATCCCAATGACAGAGACGCATACCTCGCACAACGTCGAGCAGAACGAGGACGTCCCCCATTGCCATGGAATGCTCGATTTCGCCGTGAACTTCCGGGAAATGTTAAAGACGCTCAACCAGATGACGTGGCTGAATGGGCAGAAGAGGACGATGTCTCCAATTACCACACTGTTACTATCCCATATGGCCCCAAATACAACGCCAAAAGAGTTGAGAAGCTTCTATTCACAAAGGACTTACTCCTCAATGCTGAATGGAACAAACCCAAGGACAGAAAGACCAAGCTGCATCGCCATCCGGCCTTCTTTGGTTCTGTCAACGACGTTCTTCATGACTGCTGTGGGTATTGCCCGGAAGCTACCACCGACGAGGACTTCGCTGCGCTTGAGGAAGAGAGCAAGATCCACATATCTGGAGATATTACATTTCTCAAAGATGATCCAGGCAGACAGGCCATTGGCAGCTTTAATCCGATTACGGACAAAGACTGGACGGAAATGGCGTATATCGGCAATACTACGAGACTGTGTCAAGCAATAGTCGACCTCGATATCGATGCCGTCAGAGACTGGTTCTCTGCACTAGAAGCTGTCGACGTCAATCGTCGGGATCACGTTGGTCGCACTCCTTTACATCTTGCGGTCATGTGCTCCACTCCTGAGATTGTCCAATGTCTGATCGATCACGGTGCTCGTCTTGTCTCTAGAATGTATAATGGTATGACCGCTTTGCATCTTGCTGCTCACCGTGGAGAGGTGCAGATTATCAAGGATATTCTTGATAAGAGTAACGCGAACGAGGAACAAGAGGCGCTCAAGGAGGATGCACGAAGAGAAGCACGAAGAGCTGCTGCCGACAACTCACAAGAAAGTCACGACAATGCAAGTGACCTCAGCGACAATGATTCATTCGACTCTGAAGCTTTCGAGGACGGGGAAGAGGATGCCATGACCGAGGGGTCTTTTGTGAAAGTGGGCGGCATCTCCGAAGCTCAAGACTCTGAAGACAAGGATGGACCAGATGTCTACGATGTTGATGTTCTTGCTTGGGATAGTCCACTCTCGCCTCTTCACCTTGCTATCCTTGGGGGACATATGGATGTGGTGAAAGTTCTCATTGACAATTACGGCGCCGACGTCCTGCTTCCTGTCAAGATTGTGGATGAATACAACACAAAGCACGCAAAGGCTGCGATCCTGACAATCTGTCTGGCCTTGGAGCTTCCATTGCAGCAAGCCAACGAAACTGTCAAAGGTCTTCTTGCGCTCGGGGCGTCATTCACGCAGGCGTGAGTTTCCCTTCTCCTTGAAACCATATTTCTTTTGCGGCGGATTATTGTCACAGATTCCGCCAAGGTCGGTAGTGGCTGACAGAGATTCACAGCGATATGAATTTCATCTCCGCTCTCCACTATGCGGTTAACAGCGCAAAGACACTTATATTGCAGACAATGCACTCCGCTGATACATCGAGCTTTGCCAAGGCCGTCAATTTCATCGTCGTCTCTGGGTATTGGAGCCAGCCAACCATCGAGACACCCTTGCTAACTGCTATCCGCACTGGGAAACCTGAACTTCTTGAGCATCTGATCCAAATGGGTGTTAAACCACACATCGACCTCGAGTCCTTTGCGCAAGCATACAAACGCCGCTTCGACAAAGCCTCGGATGATCCATCAGAAGTGAAGAAAATTTTCCAGAAATGTGTCGAACAGCCTATCATTCTTGCCCTCCAGAATGAAATGGTGGACTTGGTCAGTCAACTAATCGAGAGGGGCGAGGATGTCAATACGTTGACTACTGGCGCATACAAATATCTGGAACGTCCATGTTCTGCCTTCAGCGTGGACGCCAAGTCCTTGTTGGATCTCGTCCGAGACCGCATCTCGTCACTAGAGAAATCCTTATCCCCCATGGTTCAGAACTTGGAGAAGCCTCCCACGCTGAAAGCAGATGACGAATACCTCACCGGCCTTGAAGAAGGGTCTTATCGTTACTGGACTGCTTTCCACGACCTCCAGAGTGCAAAGTCGATCCAACGGTTTCAAATGAGGGAATACAACAAAGAACTGCGAGCTTGGATGCGAGGCTCAGAAGTTGGGAAGGAGGAGAAGGATGCCGCCGTCAACGCCACCATTGCGAAGCTGCGTGATCTTGAACACAAGCTGGCCGACAAGGGTGCTAAGTCATTCTTCGACTTGTACCCGAGGGCCCATAGCGAAGACCAATTTCCCAAAAGCCATTTTATTTCAAAGGTTTCGGATTGTGAACCATACGCCACGAAGATATCTTTTAAGGTGCCAGACCTGACCCCAGAGAAGGAGGTCAAGTACATCGAATTGTTCGAAGCAGCTTGGAAGGGCGACTCCGAAACTGTCAAATCACTTTGTCTGACTGGCCCCCATCCGCTACAAGTCGCAGTCATGGATCTTCGTGGATTCAGTCCGTTCTCAGTTGCTTCTTTTCGCGGCCATTACGAGCTGGCACAACTGATTGTCGAAATTGCTAAAATCCAGTACCAGCCGAACACGAAGAACCAGTCAGGTCGATACCGCTATGTCCTCGACACTGACGGACACTACGACACAGACAGCGAAAACAGTTATGATAGTGATGGCACGGAGCAGGACACTCGGGTGAGAGTTGTTGCTGAACTTGTCGATGAAACCTTCACAGTAGACGACATTGCTGCAATGGCCGACAATGTCAAATCGAGAGTCTCACCGGCCGCCATGGTCTCCTGGAATTGCTTGAGCGCGCGTGCGCTCGAAAAAGGCGTGGATGAGCGACAAGTTAGGCATGCCTTTGGGGGCGTCCATGGACGAGGTGTTTTTGTCGGTTATGGTTACTCAAATCAGTCTTGGAAGTGGTTTCATTCGGCCTTTGAAACCACGTGCCAGCTTAATCGTTGTTCTCTGATTCGATATGCCATTTTTACCGACAATATGGCTCTTTTGAAATTCATCATCAAGATTGGCAACAGCCTCGCAAACCAGGAAGGAGATGGTGGTGACAGTCTGAACGTAATCGCCATCGCCAAGACCGATTTCGACCTGGCCCTCCACCTTGGTAGGGTTGAGATGATAGGTGAGATGATCAAGTCCACCGGCTTTGGATTTCCTCTTCAAAAAGTGTTCCAAAAATCAGGAATCAAGCTTGACGAGAAGCCCCAGTACTACCAGGGACTCAGCGTTTACGGCAAAAAGCGTCAAGATTGGGCTGAAGCCGGCCGCAGAGGTTACCGCACCCAACAGGTCGAATCTGATGTGGGTGTTCCTCTTCTAGCTGCCACGGTCGAGGGCAACCTGAAAACTACCGAATATTTCTTGTCAGATGAGCCCTTGCATCAGTACCTCGAGTTCGCCCGGTCCTTCAAGGAGGACAAACGCATTCAAGCATTGGCGCATACGAAAGGAGGCATTCGAGGGACACTTGATGCGTGGCTGTCGACACGAAATGAGCTCGCACTGCATATTGGAGTGTTGTCGGCCCCGATGCAGGACGGAACTCAGCCATGCTTTGACTTCCTGCTTGAAAAGATGCCCCATGCACTCGAGGTTCGCTCTACTGATGGAAAAACACCGCTCCATCTTGCTTTCGAAGTCAAAAGATACTATGCAGCGAAGAAATTGATTGCAGCGGGCGCAAATCAAGCCACTAAAGACAATGTGGGGCGCAACATTCTTCATACAGTTCTCGACACTGTTCCGACACACAACCCTGCCTTACTTGGATCCATCTTGAAAATACTGGATGAAAACATCATTGCACCATTGCTACTTGAACGATGTAGCAGTGTTGAATCCACAGGTACCACGCCTCTAGCAGTTTTTGTGGGGCGCGTCTTCGCGGCTACAGGATGGGAAGAAAGTCTCAAGCTCATCCTCTCCCTTTCAGGCGGTAAAGACCTCGAGAAGATGGATGGGGCAGGGGACTATCCATTGCATTCAGTCGTACGAAAAGGCCACCAAGAACTGGTAAAATTCATCGTGGAATATAGACCCGGATTGTTGTACTGGGAGAATGCCACAGGAATGACTGTATCTGATGTGGCGACCACCAGCTATCTACGACATCAAATCGACTATCCCCCAAAGCTAGACACCACCAAGGAGCGAAGCGTTAAGGACATTCCTGCTCAGGAATTTGCGGCAAATCTCGGGTCCGACTCGGGCAAGGCAGAAGTCGCAGAGGCCGCCGGACGCAGCCAGCAATGGCGCATGTACCGCCTCATTAATTCCCTCATGACCAAATATCCGGCGAAGCGGAAGTTAGTGGCACTCCATGATGCCAACGAAGTAGCGAAGCGTCTGGCAATGCAGCAGCAGAAACAGAATGAAAACAATCAGCGGGAAAGATCTGGAGTGAACGCAAGAGGGTTGAGGCGTTGGCGGCACTCTCAAGACACCGTTGAAGCAGATGACAGGCAAGACGAAGTGGCGCAGTATCTAGCTCAGGCGATGGATTTCACAAAGTGGGATGAGATGGTCTGGAGGACGACCGAGGCTGGAGAGACGATGGGTGAGGACGGCAAGGACATCGAGAGCCACTACCGGCGTCGTGGAAGCGATGCGAGTGACCTTGATGAGATGCAGATGCAGATGGTCCTTCCTGTGAAGGACCGATGAGGTTTCGAGCCCGCCGAACGATTGGTTGGCGGAGCAATTATTGGAGAACCTATAAGATTCGACATTGAAAGGAGCAGTCAGAGCCAGTGTTCATTACGGTTCGGTGGTACGGCGAACATTCGCTCCATTGTTGCTAGATGACATAAGTCACGGATGGAAGTTCAACATAATTCATGTGTCTCAAGCGTCTTGCCCACTATGTACAGAGCACGGGGTACTAGCTGGGGGAACCCAGGAAACCAGGGAAACCTAGCATGACCCCTACCTACATAATATGTACTGGTTCGCTATCTTCCCTTCTTTCCACCTCCTCCTGCCTTTCCCTTTCCCTTCCCACCACCACCACCTTTCCCTCCACCACCGCTTCCGCCTCCCAACGCGCCTCCCAGGCCACCGCTCTGCACAATCCTACACCCCTTAACCGGCAAAGCGCCCACGATCTCTTCGACGCGCCACTCCTTCAATAACTCGATCTCTCGTCTCCAGACCTTGTCCCTTTCGCGATTCAACTCATCAACTACCTTGGGGCCTTTTGTGGCGAGAGAGGTCCAAAACCCTAAGATCTCCTTGACGACTTTCCCTTTCTTGACGTTGCCAGGCTGCAGCTTGATCTTGTATTTCTGTCGGGCGAGGGCCGTCCAAGGCGCGACGACGGGGATTGCTGCGAGGAGTTCGTCCCCGGGTTCCGGCATAGGGACAAGGCGGTCGATGTCCAATAGTTCGCGCCGCTCTTGTTCCAGTTGCTCCTTACTCAATTCGTCGTCTTCGTCCAGGTCGACGACCCCCGGTCCACCATCGGCGCCACCGCCCGCGTCGGCTTTTTCGAGTCTTTCACGACGTAGGCGTTCCCTCTCCGCGGCCTTTGCGTGTTGTGCTCTCCTTCGTTCCTTGTCTGCTTGAGCTTTGGCTTCGCGGGCCGCTTTTTCTGCTTCTGCCGCTTCTTTGCGTTCTTGAGCGCGGGTGGATCCGAGGAGTTGCATGGCAAGGGCACGGTCTTCCTCGTCTTGGTCGGCGTATTTCTTTTGGGCACGTTTCAGCTTGGTGCGTTTGCCGCGAGCGAGTCGTTCAGGTTTTGACTTCGTTAAAGCTTGTGATGAGGATGCCGGCGTGGACGCTCGTGTAGATGGCTGTGGGGCTGGACTGTCGTTGGATTCTTCTCCGTCAGAAGCCTCGTCTGAGGCATGCTCCTTTGTCTCTTCTTCGGCTTCGATTGCAGGCCTGTCGAAGTCTTCTTCCTGAGGACCTTGATCGTATCGAGCAACATTGACCTGTAGAGGATTCGACCTCTCTTCCTCTCCCTCTGAAGTCTCCGTCGAATCACGGCCATCGCCTTCACCATCCACCTGCCCCAGTTGTTCAGACGCCTCATCCAAGGCTGCTCCACGATCATCCTCCTCCTCCCCCACAGCGGCATCAGCAGCATCTTCAACATCAGGTATGGCCTGTCCTTGATCTGACCCCACCTCGCCTGCAACGTCTTCTTTCTCAAAAGGTAACCCTCTCACATCGTTAGCTAACGCTTCAGCCTCGCCTGGGAGCATGCTCTCTGTCCTTTCAAGCCGATGCTTGCCGTGGTTCACTTTGCTCTCCTCGCTGATCAACCACAAAACACCAAAGCCAAGGAGTAATTGACTCGGTGCTAATAGATTCTTGCGCCCTCTGATGATAAATCCACCAGTAGTGAGATACTCGCCAGTCGGAGCCGTCTTGCTCACTTGGTCCGCGTTGACCCACCAGGCCCCCATCAGCGCCTTTGAGTCCCACGCGCTGCTCGTGCAGACGGTCAATGTACCGGCTTGAGAAAGAGTGGAAGGAGGAATCGGTGCATCCGGGGTTCGCGGATTGTTCTTCACAATTACACTTGAGGCTCCCTGCAAGTCGGCGTGTACGTAGACGTCGCCCTTCTTTAGGTATCTCCTGTAAAGTAGCTCGTTCTGTTGGGCGTCCTTGCCTCCAATCACAAGATATCCGTCACTGGAGATGAAGTACAAGAATTTTTCGAACCAGAATTGTTTTCTTGCCGGTCTCAAGACAGCCTTCTCCTGCTTCAAGCCTTTCTTGAGGTCTGCATCTATCTTCTGCTCCGCAGACTTAAGGGCCTTTGCAGATGCCTCTGCTGTCTTTTTCTCTTTGACTGCGGCGGACCTTTTCTGGTCGTAGTACTGGCGTGCGTTTGCCCAAGGTGACAGCGCCAGGTCGATATCGATGGCCAGTCGCTTATCTGTTGAGGGTCCGCCTTTACCCAAGGTCTCGTCGGTCTCCTCATCAGATTCAACCTCCTCATCTGTACTGTCTTCTCCGTCACTCTCGTAGCCTTCGTCGAAGCTGGGTTCGTCAAGCAGAAGAGTCACTGTGTTCTCCTCCAGCTTGAGCGGAAGCTTGACCAATTGAGCCACTACATTTCCTCGCTTCTGTTCGTTTTCGATGAGTTTCCCAATGTCCACCCAGTCCATGCCTTGCGCGATTAGACCATTAACAGCAGCACAAGCCTCCTCCACGCGGTGGGTGTTCGCCTCGATAGCTTGGGCTTTCCTGACATGCATTTCCTGCACCTGTTGAAGACCTGCCAACCTTTTCTCGTGCTCGTCTTTTGCAACCTGCAATTTCCTTTTCGCTGTCTCTTCTCGCTCTGTCAACCGAGATTCCAGCTTCTGGGATTCGATGGACGAATAGAACTCGTCAACCGTGCGGTTAAAGCCGTCAAACTCGAGAATATGAACGCAGGGCTCATTCTCAAATTGGCATGGCCGGAATGGATGGAAATCGTCATAGAGAAGGGACTCTCTAGTCGGTTCCTGTGCCCCTGAAGACTCCGCCTCACCTGATGGGGGGGTTCTCTGCTTCGCAATAATATAACCCTTTGATTGACCGGTCCCCAAAGACTTGAACAACTGATCTGCGCGCTCCAATGCAGCCATGACTGACCGCAGGGACTCTTTGTCTGTCAAGACACCCTCCGCCTTCAAGGTCGCATCGACGCCCGCTTCCCTAAATACGTGCTCGAGCAAGTGTTGAGGAAATTCAGGAAAGCCGGCACTCAGAGTCTTTCCCAGATCGTCGATCCCCTTTGATCGTTTCGCTTTCTTGCCGCCCACCTCTTTTGCAGCTTTCGAGCGTTGAACCGCCTTCTGAAGAACTTCCCTAACTCTTTCTTCTGATAAGGGCGTGATGCCATGGAAGTTCTGTTTTGCCTCCAGGGTATACTTCCCACCCAATTTGACGTCCACATCCGCATCTCCTTCGTTGACCTGTCGCTGAAGCGCGAGAACATTGAGATCCGCATCCGTGACTATGATATTCCCCGCGGCAAAAAATTCAAAGAACACTCGATACAATCCGTCGCTGAAGGTGATTTCAATGACTCGGTCGGTGCCCACCTGGGCGACTCTGGTGACACGTCTGCTCTTGAGAAAATGGCGTAACCTGCTGACGAAAGCGGATGGCTGAGTGGCGGCGGTTCGAGAGAAAGAGGTCAAGTGACAACGGAAGCCAGAGTCTAGAAGAAGTTGTTCTCGTTTCCCTGGTCTGGCGAATTTGAACAGAAAAATTCGACTAGAGAGATCGTAGATGTTTGAGAGACGGAGGCCGGTGAGTGAAGTTGATAGTTCATATGCAATGACCTACAACACACCAACGGAGTCAGTTGCTGCTTAATGGTGCATGCGGGGCAGGGAACAAATACAGACCTTAACGTCGAGGGATGAGAAGCGCTGTTTCATGATGGAGCCGCTCCGTAAATCTCAGGGAATATAATAAAGGAGAAAGAGGCAAGACAGAGCCTCAGCGCAGGATGGTGTCTAAGACTGAGTAATTGGGAGAATGACTCTTGAATTGAAATATTTCAGCGTCCGAATGACGTCGATTTGCTTTGGTAATCCATGGCAGCAAGGCTGCACCCCCAACAAGGCTGCCATCCTCCCATAGTCTTGGAAACGACGACCAGGCTCCAGGTCTTCGATTTTTTTGGTCATAATGCTCATTGCTCCTTTTCCGCATCATAACGCCATGCAGGAATATCCCTGAATTCCATCTCCAGCGCAGGGCCATGTCGGCAGCTTCAGCGTGACGGAACATCAAATGCCACCTTATCCACTGCCCAGAAAATCACAAGTTTCTTCTAACAAACTCCATTCCCTGCTTCTTCCCGAATTCCCAAAGATTCTGTATCCCTTGCTCACTGAGGTCAATGTTCTTCATATTCGGCGCATCCTGTGCAGGAGCCTTTGACACTCTCGATGCCACCATCACTGGATCCGTCTCTAAGACTATGCCGTCATCGACAATTTCATCGATAGCCAAAGTTACCAGATCGTAGTTCTCCATGATCGTGCGCTTGTCCGTCGAGTTCCTGTCGTCGCCTTTGTCAGTCGTTGTTGTTCGCAGAAAAGATGGTCCACAAACTTTAACAAAATGCTTAACGTATCCCTCAGTGCCAATACAACATTGTATAATAGAATCTCATTCTCCTCTGCCCCGCCCACCACATACAGCATGACGTCGCTCTCCATCTTGAACACCACGACCTTATTGTCGTAGAGGATCACATCGGTTGTCTGCTTTGAAGTCTTTTCTAGCAATCCCTTTTCAAAGGCCTTCTGTTCTTTTAGATGCGGGTACGGTTGCGATTGTGGAGGATGTTGTGCTGCGGCTGAGGCATGTGGAGGATTGTAGTATTTGGCGAACAGTCTAGAGGAATCGGGGGAGGAGTCGGTGGATAATATGAGGATGGCAACGACGCTGTGTAGAGACATACTGGGCGCCATGATTGACAGACGTCCTCTTGCGAGGAATTGGCAGATGGGACCTGGTGTGACGAGTTCTGGCAGCGAGGTCGAGAAACAGTTTTGCTATGCTATGCTAATTAATTGAACTGGCCTCACCTCCGCAGAGGTGGCAGAGGCGACATAAATTGCGTCTCAAGTTAGAAAGCGCGACCGTATCTTCTGACACGGCAAACCATATACCACACCATGCGCAGTTCAACTCAGCCTCGACCCTCAAGAGGGTTTCGTGCTCGGGATCCTTTAGAATTTTATGAACTGGACCAAAGTCTTTAGAACTAAGCCATTCTCTCCATCAATCGAGGAAACATATACTATCGACATGGGCAAATCCTCAAAAGACAAAAGAGATGCCTACTACCGCCTGGCTAAAGAACAAAACTGGCGCGCACGCTCTGCCTTTAAACTCATACAAATTGACGAACAATTCGACCTATTTTCGTACAGCGAACCCGACAAATGCACCAGGGTAGTAGACTTATGCGCTGCCCCGGGGTCTTGGAGCCAGGTGCTCTCGCGAGTACTAATAAAAGGTGAGAGTTTTGGACGGAGAGCTTGGGTTGAGAAGATGGAGCGGTTGCAGCGTGCCCAAGCCCAAGCCCAAGCCCAAGTCCAAGAGGATAATAGTCTTGCTCGAGGAGGCATGTCTTCGCTCGAAGAAATCATTTCAACAAGCGGCGGCGAATTAAAACCCCGGGCAAATGTCAAAATCGTCGCCATAGACCTTCAACCCATGGCGCCTCTAGAAGGTATAACACAGCTAAAAGCCGACATTACTCACCCTTCCACCGTTCCCCTCCTCCTCAAGGCCATCGATCCGGACTTTTCTCCTCAGAATACAACTCATCTGATCGACCTTGTGATCAGTGACGGCGCCCCCGACGTCACAGGTCTGCACTCGCTCGACATCTACGTCCAGTCTCAACTGCTCTACTCCGCACTCACACTTGCCACAAAGGTTCTGCGTCCGGGGGGCAAGTTTGTGGCCAAGATCTTCAGGGGTAGAGATGTCGACCTGATCTATGCACAGTTGAGAATCTTATTCGAGCGGGTGAGTGTGGCGAAGCCGAGGGCCAGTAGGGCGAGTAGTATCGAGGCGTTTGTGGTCTGTGAGGGCTACAAACCTGTGATGGTAACGAATGATGATGGAAAGGAAGTTCTGTGGACACCGGAAATCGAAGTGGAGAATGGTTTGCCGGTTCTGGAGCCCGCAGCTGTATCGATACCTTTGTCAGCGGCGCGGGAGGAACAGCAAGAGCCAGTTCCGCTGGATTCTGTTCCTGAAGATAGACATGAGACCGACAACAGTACTTCAGCGTCAGAATCACGGCCATCAATCGCAGGCACTCATGCTCCACAACGAATACAGACGCAACAAGCGCGCCATCTCCGCCCAGACGGCATCGTCGAACTCCGGTTCCTATCCCTCGAAGACGTCGATGACCCTCGGCGATATATTGCTCCATTCCTGGCCTGCGGCGATCTGTCGGCCTGGGACAGCGACGCCACCTACAAGCTGCCGGAGGGCCATGTGTCGCTGGATCCCGTCCAACCTCCCACAGCACCTCCCTACAGGCTGGCGATCGAAAGGCGGAGGATCGACGGAGGTATGTACGGCAAGACCAAACACAAAGGATAGAGAAATGGGCAAGTTCGATGCCAAGTAGTGGCGGGGTGATATACACTGAGATGGGGAGCTCTTCATTCGACTGCTTAGGCATCCTTCTGAGAAAGCCGAAGGTTGTCGTCCTGGCATATCTGTCGGATCGAATATATCACGAAGGGGACTCTGGAGACTGCGATGGTGATGAGTAGAGTCAGTTGGCCAACGAAAAGAGGTTTAGAATCAAGAAAATAAAAGTCTTTCCATTCGTCACACCGGAGTCTTTTCATGGTCATCGTCAAAGGGTCCTATTCACAAAGCTCGGAATGAAGGCTCATCCAGAGGCCATGTCGCTTCCAGAGGTCCATAATGCCGCCACAGTCAAGATGCACGCAACCAAATACCGATCCACGCCATTTATGGAGAAAAGCTTCGCTTGCTCGAACGTGGTCACAAGAAAGAGCCGATCATGCCAATTTCTCTGCTCAGCTTTTGGCAGACCGCCGTCAATCATCGCCCCTGCGCCCTCTGATAAAACACGATATACGCCTCCCCGTTCTGCAACCTGTCTCTTTGACTTAATTTTAGCGGGTCCAAATCAACATGCCTCTCGTCATCGAATTTCCTCCACACGCCCCGCCCCTGATCCTTCACAATGGAGATATAATGTCCTCCATCCCCACTATTGCCTAGGTGTCTCAGAACCCCGTATGCATCATACGTATAGGGCGGCGTTGTGGCAGGCTCCATGCTCATACGCCCATCTTGATCCGGTAGCGTAGCTGGTCTGGGGATGACGAAATCATCCATACTTAGATTGTGCAATGGGAATTCAATGGGCGTGTGGATTTTCTTGGCCTTTTCGTGCTTTGAAGCGGCGAAGCGTTTGAAATGTATCACCAGGAACTGCGGTAAGCGAGTAAGGATGATTTGCTTGGTGGCTTCACGCTCGCACTTGCAATAGGGACATCGCCAGAGCTCCGACAGTTTTTCCTCCCGACAGTATGAGGAAAGGCAGTCATAGATGTGGCCCGCACGATCTCGAGGGATTTCCACGCTGATGCTGTAGAATGCTTCGTAGGTGGTCGAAGTGCGTTTGCAGGTGAGACAACGAAGGCGCGACGCATGTTGGCCGGCAAATAAGGAAGACATGTAACTATGGTCTCGGTGCTCGTAACGTTTCCACTCGATTGGACTCGCTCTTGCAATCTCCATTCTCTCTCTCTGCATTTCCTCTGCAGTCGTTAGTGGCCGGAGCGGCGTTCGTTCCCAGTTGACGTTCAAGTCCTCGTGTAGGCAATCGACGAGGAAGTCGAAGAATTCCTTCGCGTCTTGCTGTCGGTCGATTACCCATTCTCGGTTCATTCGGCCACAGAAGTTTCGAAATGTTGATGGTTTAATGACCTCATTGTCCCCCTGCCAGACTGCCTGGATTAGGTTGGCATAGAGCTTAGGCATGATGCCATTGCTACCTTTCCAGTTGCGCTGTACGTATCCCTCATAGAGTCTATCATTGAAAAAGTTGGACAAGGGAATAGTCGCGGACAGACATTGCAGAGTCGAATTCATGTAACAAGTGACACCAAAATTCGTCAGCCCAGTCTTGGGCAACCTTCTGCGAAGGGAAGTCACGGTCGAATACAGCGGCGGTCGCGTGGCCGAGGTTACCCTAGCCAGCGCCGGTTGGGGTGCATTGATATCCGCATGGCCCGAATAGCTCGGTCTCGGGATCGCGGGAGCCGGCCTTGCCGGTACTTGGGGAACGGGGGGTGGTGCATGTTGAGGAAGATATGCGGCAGGATGAGATGGAAGAGGTCGTCGAGCAGGCATAACCATAGATTCTTGCTGTTGGATTGAAGGAAACCGCCGCAAGAATGTCTCATAGTCGGGAATGAATGGAGAGGGAGGTTCGGGCTCTTCTTCGACCACTGAATACTCTTCATCGCTGGCATGGTCGTGTTTCTCAATCGGGGTCACTTCTTCCTGCAAAGCCTGCTGGCGCCACGCCTCTTGCTCGCTTTCATCCAGAAATTTGTGGTCACGAAGACGCCTGTTCCGGACCTCATAGCGAGAATTGGCAGAAACCATGCGCTGTCGTGCGATGGGTCGACCAGGACCGACGGGTCGTTGCCGCGTGATACCCAGCGTCGCAGCAGTTCTTGACCGCGCAAGTGATTGGACTCCCATATAGTCCACCCAGGCATCAAGACCACCAGACAACAACGCAGGTGGCCGACCATCCTTGAGAGGCTTCGTGTCGTTGAATTCGTACAGCGTATCATACAGTGCTCTCAATGCCGGAGCTTTAGTCATTGTGGGGGGACCCTTGAGATAG